GAGAATGTTCAAATGCACTGCTTCCTTTGTTACTGAAGTAGACACGCAGAAAACGTATTGAAGCCATAAAAAAACAAAAAAACAAAAAAAAACAAAAAAAAAAAGCAGAGAAGGCATCATTACAACATCCTACGAGTTTCCTCAATATGTCCCTGCTGTGTTTCCCTCAAAGATCTAGAAGGAGTCTGTTTAAATGTTTGAATGGCACTGGGCTCATGTGTTTGTCCGGGGCTTTATGTAGGTCACGTCCCTTTTTCATTTTTTTTTTTTTTGTCTCTGTGCATTTGCTCACTTCCCCATCATTTGTTCTTTCTCTTCTTGGCTTTTCTTGTCTGTGTTCATACGCAGGTTTTGCTCCTCTGCTTCTCTATGCTCATTTCCTCAAATATTCAGCCGGTCCCTTACAGCCAACGCAGCCACGCAGAATATACAAGTACCGCAGGTCTGTTTGACGCACACCCCTCACTTTTGTCCTGCAAACCAACACACACGCAAAAAAAAAAAGCTCACCTTCGCCACGTCTCTACCTTTCAGCGTCGTCGCGCTCCCTTCTGTCGACTGGCGGAGCGGGAGAAGTCCGTCCTCAAACTTTTTCGCTTTCCTCGGCCTCCTGGGGCTTTGAGGGCCTGCGAGGCCTGAAGGAGAAGCTCTGGGCCTGGACGGTCGTCACCACGGTTCGCCTCCAGTCGCCCCGCCAGCAGGAACACAACAACGGAGATGATTACAGACCTTGGCAGAGCAGAAACATGTAGAAGCAGCAGTAGTGTTGGCTTGTGTGTCAGTAGAGTGAGCACTTTAATTGCTTTTTTCAGTGTCTGTAGTTGACTGTTATGATTTCAGCGGTGCACAAACAGGATGCTACAAGCCAGAACCTGTGCAGTTATGGTCAGTGGGGAACTACAGTCGCACTGATGTCTGATACAACAAAACAAAACAAGAACAAGGAAACTTGTTCAGGTACATGAGGAGGAGATTCACCCATTTGTTTCATTATGCACTTTAAATACATATTGTTAAATATGTCAGGGATGAACTTTAACTTCCTCTGCAACATTTCAGTGAAATGATGATGAAATAAAATTTTGCTAAATGCATTTTTGTTTTTGGTGTTTGTTTGTTTTTGCAGCTTCTTGCAGCATTTTTACTAGCATTGCCCTGGTTTTAATGCCATCCAGGAAGAAAGGCTTGACCCACAATAAAAGCTTTACCCTAAACACAACTGGAGCTTTGTGTTTAGGGTGATGTGCAGTGTTAGTTAGTTAGCTTTGCATGCAGCTCCATTTTGCCCTTGTTTGTCTGAAGCCTCTTCAGCATGTTAGCTATTTCCTCTCCATAATTGGTAGTAAGTATTCTCTTTGTTTACTTTCTACAGTGGATTTTTTCCCCACACTCACTATTCAACCTAATGATTAATGGAGAAAAAAAAGAAAATCTCCCATTTCAGACTCTAAATGTTTTGTTTTTTGTTTTTTTCCCATGGCTGTCTCGTATTTAACTCCATTCGTATTTCCATAAACTCTAATCTGTGCCTGGTTTAGAAAAGCATCTCCACATTATGGCGCAGTCGCCAGCATGTTTCACTGTGGCAATGGTGTTTCTTTGGGTATGCAGGCACACAGTATGTTTTAATTTGGGCCTTATCTCACCAGAGAATCCTTGCTCACATGTTTTCTGCACACTTGTTAAAATGTGTCTGCTAATGACTTCTTTCTTGTCTCTATCTGCTGTTCCTCCAGAGTTATCTGCTTCACTAATCACTTCACTCTTGTCTTGCCTCCCAGTGAAGGTTGCTCTTCAGGTATTGATAGCTTTGGAGGCCACTGCTCAGGATATGGCTCCACAAACTAACCCTGCTGCTTTAGATTTCTCCAAAAGTTTCTCTCTGGGTTCCTTGCTCTTAAATACTAACACTGTACATCCCCCTAAAGGCTCTTTGCTCGCTAACGTACCTCAGCGGCCTTCATAAAAAGTACTGACACACACTCAGTTGGACTCCTAATGAGAGTACAGAAATATTAACATGTAACACCCACTCTAAACTCGCTCCAATGGCTCTCCATCACTGTAAGATCTGAGCCTTTCTGACTCATCAGTGCAGCCACGGAAATGCTTCTCCCTATCTACAACCTCAACACGTTCCCTGCCTTCCACCTGGACTCCTTCACAGCAGAACAAAACTACACACAATGCAGACAACATGTATTTTAATTGAAGTTGTAAATGTGTTTATTTGTGGTTTTATGCCACTATTTCTAAGGATTTGTGGCACCTTCTGATTTTATCTAAAAATATATATGGTAATATAAGAATTTTATGATTCAGAAAAGTCTGTTGCTTGCACTGGATTTTGTTCAGTGGCATCAGAGTCAGGGGGCAAAAATACAACTTCAGCTCCATCGTGATCCGTCTTGAATACTGTTGGAGTTCACATCCTCCAAGAACACTGGATGAAATGTTTAGAAAAAGGCTGTGCCAAGTGTGTTGTGTGATGTCTAAAGTAACATTTTGCACATATTTGTACACAGCTAATTTTGATATTTTTGTTAGATTCCAATGATGTGTTTAAGTAAGAGAAACAAAAAAAGAGAAAAAAAAAGAGATCTTGCAAATGTATCTTTTTTTTTGTCCATAATCAGGCTTTACTCTTCTCTGGGCATCCAGGATGGCAGTATGTCTAAAGCCTCTCTGTAACAGTCCAGAACGAGTGCAGTGGCTCAAGGCGAAAGCTGCCAGGGTGCATTTAACAATTTAAGAAAAGAGGGATTTCAGCAAATCTGAACCAAAACTGCAAGTGCGCTGCACAGCCCAGAGTCTGGAATGAATTATTGATCACACAATTTTAAACAATGTGTTGCTGTGTATTAATAGAAAGTTGGGAATCTGTGGGTAGAAGTTCAAACAGAATCTGATTGTATCAGTTTTGAGCTGAGGTGCTCAAAACTGAACAGCCAGAAGACAAAAGAGGCCACAGGAGGGAAAAGATTATTCCGGGTATAAATGTTGCAAGGTTTGACCATCTTGGGAGTTTATGAGCTTTTTAATACATGAATTTCACAATATAAAATAGTTGAACAGAATTATATAATAATAATAGGTGAAGGCTGTAATTTAATAAATATTTTGACATCAAAGAAATGGACACAGTGAGCTATGCGATTTTGCATTTCCTGCTTTCTTTTCAGTTTAAAGGGGTGGTACTATTTTCTTTTCAGGCACATTGTACCATTTTGTAGAACAATCAAGTAGCTTTGTTACCTGCAGTTAAAATTATGCTGTTTATATAAAACATAACTTAAAAAAAATTCAGCCTCATTTAACTTGAAATTAGTTTTTGTCTCTTCAAGAAGCTCCTGCGTTTGGTGACACTTCAGCTTGTCATCACACTGCCTTCCCATGTTTATTTCCATTGGTAGAAATTCAGTCATTATTTTCAATTATTGATAAGTTTAAAAAGTTCAAATAATTTCAGTTTTTAATAATGTCGAAAATTATTTGGACGTACTTTTATCTCCACGTGTTTACTCAGTAAATAATCTTGTATTTTCTGTGATAAGGTGACATTAAATATAAAATTCTAGAGCAGGTTCAAAAAACAAACCATAGACCTTGGATTATTTTAGTAAGATATTATTGGTGCTGTGGTGTCTGGTGGCTGGATGCTAGAAAAGGACCCGAGAATCCAATCCCAATATAAGACCCCTGTAATCTTGTGGCGGCTATGCATTTAGCAAACTTTCAGAAAACAATCTTCAGGGGACATTTAAAGTCGAAGCAGAACAACCTCAGGAAGTTATTTGGAGAGAGTCTCCAGGAATATTTCTAAAAGAAAATAGTCGGTCAATAGTTCTGTTTTTCTTTGACCACTGGAGGTAGAAATTGGTGTCTGACAATGGAAGAAAAAAAATTGAATTGAAATAAAAAAATATTCAGTTTTCTCTTTACCTTTCTGAAAGTGTGTCCACATTGTTCAGCTTATTCTGAAGTGATGACGAATATGCATTAAAGTGACAATTAAACGATGGGGTTTAGAGGGACTTTTTTTTTTTTTTTGCCCTCCTTAATTTTTGATTTCGTCTTTATCACAAGTTTTTGTCATGATGTGCTCGGCCCAGCAAGAACACTGAAGAGCCAGCTGGCTTTTGTGATCCTTGCGAGGAAGCCCATTGCAGTGTCAGTTCCACACAAAGAAGGAGGGCGGAAATCTGCTTGAATCAAAGCCTGTGAGTCCGCATCGGTGTGACAGAAGAGCTGTAGTTCAACTTGAAGCACCAAATGTTCACAAAACAAAGAAAAGAAAATCATCTCGCTTTTATTTTTCCTCATTTTGAGCAGCAACATAACGAGCTGAAGTTGGTTTAAGATTCTTCCCCAGCTCTGCTACTTAATTGCCTGTAAGCGTCTGACGAAAATGAAAGCCGACACCTATAAGCACCTTGAAGAGATGCTGCAGAATGTAAATGAACCGCTACACAGGAGGAGACGTTCTCCAGCAGACTTGGCACTTGGTAAACATTTGATGAAAGCAAAAATACACATTATACATATTACTGTATGGAGTAATATCTATATGGAAAAGCTGAAGAGATCCACAGATCAAATGGAGCCAAAAAAGATGTTAAGATGAATCCTTTAAAAAAAATCTCTGTCCATATATCAATTCAGTGCAGTTGTGGTTATTACTTTCACTGACTTATAAAATCTAAATGAAACAGGCTGGATGTAAAATAATAATAATAATAATAATAACTTCTTCTAATGAAGAAATTATAAAACAAGAATAAATAGCCCAGTAGTTGGCTTGTTTTTAAATAAAGTAAAAAATAAAAATTGACAACAGTGGGATGATGAAGCTTTTCTCCCTGCCCTCCCTGATCCTGTGAGGAGGATGATGATGATGATGATGATGATGATGATGATAACAGTTAACAGCGCTGACTGAGCCGTGCGCACCCACAGTGCGCCGTCCAGCGGCAGACTGAGAGCCCATCCACTATAAAGCATCCAGTCGGGCGGCTTTGCTCTCCACATTCTCAGGATGAAGCGGCTGACGCATCGTGTCAGTACAGGCTGATGCATTTTCACATCCCCTCTTCTTTATTTATTGTATTATTATTTTAAATTATGGATAGCTTAAGTTTCCATTTGGAGCACCGATAACACGTGAGCGGAGAGTTTTTGGAGACCACAGACGCAGGAGGAGGAAGATGGGGATTTTTCGTCTCCACACCTGCGCGCTCTCAGTGCGGAGGTTACTCTAACGCAGGAGGAGACCCTGGAGACCTTTCTTATATATAAAAAAAGTGAGCCAATATTTCTCTGCACAAGCATGCAGAGCAACAGCAGCTCCGCCGGACCCCCCGCCGGGCTGAGTGAGTGCGGGGGTCAGGAGGAGGAGATATCCGAGCTGGTCAGCCCGACAGGAGCGGGCTCCAACCTGCCGATGTTTAACCTTTCACTCAATTGCTGGCTTCTCATCCTCTCCAAGGAGTCCTCCCTGGATCCGCATGGAGACAGCGCCAACCTGCCAGTAGGTTTTATTCAAAAGGCTGTAACTGTGTGCAGAGCAGAGCCTCTCAGTATTTGCATTAATAAAAGGTTGTTGGCTGCAGTTCAGATGCAGAGACGGTACTTTATGTGTGTGACCAACAGGTGCGAGTCGTCATTGCTCTGGTCTACCTGGTGGTGTGCGTCCTGGGACTGGTGGGGAACCTCCTGGCGCTCTTCCTGCTGCACTCCCGCCGCCGGGGCCACCACCACTCCGCCATCGACTGCTTCGTGATGAGCCTGACCATCACAGACCTCCAGTTCGTCCTGACCTTGCCCTTCTGGGCCGTGGACACGGTGCTGGACTTCCGCTGGCCCTTCGGCCGCGTCATGTGCAAGATCGTGAGCTCGGTCACCACCATGAACATGTACGCCAGCGTTTTCTTCCTCACGGCGATGAGCGTGACCCGGTACCACTCTCTGGTGACGTCCCTGAAGATGAGCAGCCCCAGGACCGCCACGGCCCGCGCCAAGTGGGTCAGCTCGGCCATTTGGGTGGTCTCCCTGGTGGCCACGCTGCCCCACGCCTTCTACTCCACCACCGTGCAGGTTGGCGCAATTGCACTAAATGCGTGGCCGATTCCTGTGGCCGATTTTCTTTGGGCAATTTAGATTTTTTATTAAGAAATATAATTTAAAAAGCTGCCTGGATGCACTAAGAATTAAATAGTCTTAGGAATACAAATATTTGCAGTAAAAAAAAAAAAAAAAGTTCTGAACAGCAACCCAAAGTTACAAAACGGTCAGAGCCGGCCCAAGGTACAGGCAACTTCTCGGGCACCCAGGCCTCATGGGCCCCCCGAAGCCCCCCCCCCCCCCAACCCATCATCGATTGAATTATAACACAGACAATAGTTCCAGAATTTTAACATCAGCTTAACAATGACAATGCTGCTAAACTAAATTTAACAGTTTTAGCATAGATTCAGTTTTTTTTTCCAGTTTTAACATTTAAATTTTTGACATGTATAAGGAGTTAGCAAGTTTATTTTTGTAAATGTCCAAAGAATAATCTTCATGGTTTGATTTACCATGCCAACAATCAGAAGCCACAAGTTTAATATTTGTGTTTCAGCTCCGTTTGTTCTCATCCCAGCAAATAATAATTAATTATTAGTGTTTTGTTTTAAGCACAGCCAGTTGAACTTGGGGCCTACTCTCCCAGATTTCACTGAATCTGCTTCGAATCACTGTTAGCAGCGCCTATGTTTTTAGGCAGCAGGAGGAAGGGAACCTAAATAATATAATAAGGCCCCATAAAGCTTGGGTCAACCCTGCAAGCCTTAAATCATAAACTTTCAATAACGTCTGCAGGTTTTGGTGGAGAATGTATCGGTAACAGAAAAAGGAAACTGCAAAAAAGAACCACAGCACATCCCAGTAAGTCCTTTGCACACTTGCAGAAGTGCACCATATGTTTACAAAATCAATTCAAAAACAGGGTGAGACTTTAAATTATCTGGACATCAATAATGACAAAGCCAAAACCTCACCCCTTACCTGACCCTTGACCCTGAGCATGTTGGAGACAACTCCACCAAACATGTTTCTCACCTTTCCCCAAAAAGAATGGCTGTGTTTTAAGACAGGCAAAGCACATATATATATATATATATTTTTTTTCAATGTGGATAAGGCCTAAAAACCTCAAAGTCGATGCATTATTTAGATTTGATGGCATTTGATTAAATTTTTTAAAAAATCTTGTCGATTCAATTCAATTACGAACTGCTTATTAATTTTTAACTGAAGGAAGAAGCAGTTCATTCAATTAAAATGTGTGAGTCAATTAAGCCACAACTAAAAGCTTAAAATACTTTTGTTTGACCTCAATATGTTTTTTTCCTTCGTAACTTTCATGGATAGGGCGCTGAACTGTTCCTCGTCTTTGGAAGACACTTTCATTGAGAGAAAAAAGTTCAGATTTTAAGCTAAGTGTTCGATTTTTAAGTTGTTCACTCGTTTATTGCGACGATACAAGAGCCTCAAGCATCTTGTATCGTCTTGTGATGATTTCCCTATTATGGGTAATCATTACTTGTTTATTGTGGGTCCTGAGGAAATGTCACACTGTGTGTATGACAGAGAGACCTGCACATAAACAAGACAACGATTAAATGATCACAGAGCTGACATTTTAAACAATCTGTGGTGTCTTGGCAAATGGCACGGTTAACACGGCTGGCATTTCCAGCAGCACAAATTCAACAACTCATAGGAACGAATAAATCCAATATTTCCTGATTCAGCATGTTCCCTGGCAGACAGAATTGGACTCTTCGAATGATAACAGAAAACTAAATGTATGAAAGCAAAGTTATCAGCAGAAGTTTAACTACCTGATGCTGCAGCCTAAAAGAAAAGCCAACCTGCTGCAGTATACGCCAGAGGTTCCTGTGCAGAAGCTTCTGACCTGGTCGTGGTTTTGTATCCACAGATTGGAAACATCAGTCGATCCAAGATCAGATTTTTAGTCACCAGTGGATTTCTTACTGTATTTATAATCTTAACCTTTAATCCTGAATTGACGAGCGTCTTCTCGTTCTGTTGTGCTCCCAGGTGTCTGCAGATGACGAGCTCTGCTTAGTTCGGTTTTCAGACTCTGACTCAGGTCACTGGGATCCCCAGGTTTTGCTTGGGCTCTATCAAACACAGAAGGTCCTTCTAGGATTTGTAGTTCCCCTTATCATCATTTCCGTGTGCTACCTCCTCCTGCTGAGGTTCATCCTCAGCCGGCGCATTGTGGGCAGCTCGGTCGGCCACGGCACGGACAAGTCGGAGCACGAGAGAGGACGCCATCGCAAGCGCTCCAAAGTTACTCGTTCCGTCACCATCGTGGTCCTGTCCTTCTTCGTCTGCTGGCTGCCGAACCAGGCTCTCACCCTGTGGGGGGTGCTCATCAAGTTCGACCTTGTGCCCTTCAGCAAGGCCTTCTACAACGCCCAGGCTTATGCCTTTCCGCTGACTGTGTGTCTCGCCCATGCCAACAGCTGTCTCAACCCGGTGCTCTACTGCCTGATCCGGAGAGAGTACAGGGCCGGACTGAAGGAGCTCCTTCTGAGAGTGTCTCATAACGTCCGCAACGTTCTGTCTCTGGCTCTGAGAGGAAGGAGAGTGGAGGAGGCGCCTCCCGGCACGGCTGTGGTGCACAAAGACATCAATATGTGATTTATTTTGTTGCTCAGACGATTGGGAAAGCTGTGATTACTTTTTTTAAAATTAAAAATGGGGATATCTGAACAACAAACAAAAACTAATTTGTCAATAAGCCTTCGGGGTTGACTTAGTGTATTTCGTTAACTTTGGAGACAGCCAGGCTCTTTGTTTTTCCCCACTCTCATTTCATCCTCTTCTGTTGGTGCTTGACATTTCAAATCGGTCTCATCGCAGCTTGTGAAACAATAACTGGTTTAATATTTAAGTTGGATGATTCAAGCTAAAAGTAGGTTTAGCGAGAGGGAAACAATCTGGTCTCAATTAAGAAAGAAGTGCCTAGCTAATGTATTTAAAGCTAATTGTCATTACCAATCTTTTTCTTTTTGCAAGCTGGCAACAAGTTATGCTTCCATACAAACATCAATGCAGCATGTTGCAGACACACAAACGGACAAACGCTTAATGGGACATTTAAACATTGCGTTTGTCACCACTATTAACTTCTGTCCAAAGCGGATTTTTTAGAAAAAAAAAAAAAAAAAAAAACACAGGATATGTTCAGACAAAAAATTAGGCCAAGAAATTGGCCTAATAAAAACATTGGATTTTTTATTTACTATCAGGGACAGAATTGAACAAAGATCCATGGGCAACAGTTTTGCTTGAAGTCAAATGGACAGAAAACCAACTTTCCTGATGTTTTCTTTTCTAACTGTTATTATTTTTGACTAAATTCACGTCCATTTCACCCCTATTTAATAGACCCACTCCACCACTCTCTTGTGCGGTCAACCAACAACTCCTGCTCGGCTGCCAATCTGTGTTTCACACTGCCATTCACAACCGTCGTCGTCGGCTCTGTTGTATCGATGTGAATAGTTTGGTGAATTCACGTGTGTCCTGTGGCATTAAATAAAGCGATCGGACAAAAGAGTTCACGGACGTTTCGACAAAGTTAATCTCCCCCTGCAGCCACAACAGCCTCACAGCGACAAGCTAAATGAGTCACGGGCACAAAAGCCGTTCCACATTTTGCCCTTTTGCAACCTTTAAAATTTCAACACGGATAACCTTCTTGCGGCCACACTGCAGACGAGTAAAGCTCCTGACGTGGCACAGCTTCTGTGACAACTCCACCATTGTGTGCCAATCTGGAGATGATTACGTCTCCACTACAAATCAGTGGCGTCTCCAAGGAAATGTCCAGAATTACTTTAAGACACAAAACAATAAAAAGTGAAACGTTAAAGTACAAATCTGATTAAAATTACAATCTGATCCGGAAACATACAGGTGTGTGCATAAACGATATCGATCTCTCGCGTACCAAGTAATTTGGCTGTCACCTACAAAGAGCAATTTTAATAGCAAGGGACGAAAAAGCACTTGAAGGAGCTCTGTTGGGTAGTCACATCGGAGACGCACGCTCAGCCAGGATTGTTCAAGGTTTGAAACAAGCACAGGCTCAAGGTGCTTGTTTCTCAAGAGGATGCGGCCAAATGGGATGAGCATGAATGATAAAATGGGTCAATGTCAGCCACACTTCTCCCAGCAGTGACAACAAGCAGGTGGAGCTGCTACTGAAGAAAAATGTATGTTTAAATACATCAACATATATATACCTATATATATGAACAAAACCTAATCTTTGGGTCAGCCTTGTGGAGCTCACATGGAGACTTTAAATGCAAGCAAAATCCAAAGGCGATGCGAAAACTGATTTCTACAGATGGAACATACTGAGCGTTTTGAGCAGAAGGAACAGGAAGACTCTTCAGAGGAGTCAAGGTGAAGCTTTCAAACAGGCAACTTTATCTGCACCGCATCACTCACACATATCAAAGCGATGAACAGAAAACTAAAGGAACAAAGAAAAAAGAAAACTCATTGAAGACAAAATATCGTTAAGCGTAAGAACGTAAGTGCGTTCTTACACTTGAAGTGCCCAAGGACACACATTAAGCATCCTGTGAAAAAAAAAAGAGAGTATATGATTTAAGGCATAAACAAAAGGCTAAGACAAAGCAGAAACACACATAAAACAATGAAATAACTTGAGAGTAATGTTTTTAGCTCCATTCTTCTATTCTTTTACAAACATGGAGGCGTAGCAGCTGTTAAAGGTCTGATTAAAATGGGATTTATTGGCCAGGACTATAGGGGCAGTGGTTGCACGCACCTGATTGACTTTTACATGTGCAAAGGAATAAAATAAAATAAAATAAAAATTCCCACTGTAAATGACTTTTCTGTCTCAAGCCGGAGGAGCAACAACCCCAACTCTACTGAAGACATATTGAGTAGATGTGAAAGGCCGCTCTGTGGCACTCGGACGAAAAATTTGAAGGACCTTGTCTAATTGTGATTAGAAGAGCAATCAAGCATGAGCTTCAGCATGCAAGAGGAATATTTAAACAAGCATTAGACAGCGTGTTCGAAGCTATTTGAGTTTGAAAGAATTATTTTCACCCTGAACGACTTTAAAAGTCCTCAATAAATTCAAACTTGCATCTTGTATTAAGATTTAGGGATTCTGTTTGTAGAAATTTCAGTCAGCCTTGAAATAAAAACACATCAGATAAATAACCTGAAGAGCAAAATTAGCATGAGATCCATATCACTTATAGATATATGTAAAGCTTTAATTTTGTTAATATGTGCAACTCAAAGAATACTTTGGTTCCAAGAGCAGAAAGGCAAAGTCATGGATCTTGCAGGTGAACTCCGAACTTTGGCTAATTTTCTGCAGGAAAACAACAGGAGCATCTCATGAAAGGAATACTGAGACCATTTAAAGTTGGGTTAACAAGCCCCAGAGGTGAGATAAGATCAGAAAAAGCTTGCATAACCCACACAAAACAAGCCAAGATCATCAAAGACCTTTAAAAAGACAAAAAAATGACATGAACAAACAAAAAAAAGAGCCATTTACTGCAAACAGACATGAAAGGACATAAAACAACACAAAAGACAAAAAGACATCAATGAGTCACACAGCAAGAAAAATGAAGATAAACAAAGGGAGGCACCGAGGGACACAAAACAACCACCAGGGGACCTAAAGTGCTACGAGGCAACACACACTCACACACACAAAAATTAATAAATAAAACGGGGAGCACAAACAGATGCAAAATAGCTACAAAGAGACTGAAAACACATTACCGTTGTTTAAAATCGACGTGGATCTCCTCGGGTTCAGGGAGGACGAGGCGTCTCATGATCCAGAGCTCAGAGACATATTTTAATAATATGGATCGGGAGTCGACGCTTGACAGGGATTTCTCACTTCAAATGGTGACTATTTTGTGCAAATCTTTGTCAGAGCTTCTTCAGCTTTTCAGGAGCTTTCAGCATCATTTCACAGGATTCATCATTACCTGGCGCAGGTTCTCTCACCGGGAGCTCAGGCTCTCATGTCTTCACCAAGGCGAAGGTTTTACCTTCCAAGGAACGAGGAAATAAAAAACTGTGAAAATTATGCACATGTGAAACATCGCTTCCAGAGTTTAAGTAAAGTAAAAAAAATATATATATATTTGTAACAGCAATCCAATTATATATAACAATCCTGGCGACACCAAAATATATCTGTTAAATATTATTTTTACTTAAACAACCCTGGATGTTTGATAAATATTCACAACTGCACTGAGCTACAGAAGCCTTTTCATTCAAACCAGCAGCTCTTTCTAATGGGTCAGAGGTATATAGGCAGACAGGTCAAGAAGAGCAACAATCAGAGACGCAATCAAAAGGTTCATCTCAACTTTGGAGGAGATGCAGAGATCTAGAGCTCAGGTGGGAGAATCCGTTAAAGGGGAATTGTTTAGCTGGCTGCGCGTGCTGCAAATCTACCTTGATGGAAGAAAGAAAGACATGAAAAAAAAAAGTTCTGTTTGCCATAACTCATACAAAAACACAACTCCTGGTCATTATGAAATATGATGGCAGCAGCGTCATATTCCCAGCAGTGGGAATCATTTTTGTCAGCATGTGGCAGCTGGTCAGAGAAGTAAGGAGCCAAATGGAGGCTGTGAAAGGCAAAGGTTCACCTTCCAGCAGGACAACAGGTCTGAGCACACAACCAGATCAGCAACGCAACGTCTGGGATTAAATTATAGCTGCAATAACTTGATCCAAATGGAAAAACTTGTGCCAACACTTTGCTTATCTAGACGACCACCAGATAAGCAAAGTTGACCGAGATACAGTTGCAACTGCACCGACCACAGGTAAATAAAAATGCCTATAAAATACATTGAAGTTCAAGAGCCAGAGATACTTTTTTTTCCCAAGGTTTCCACATTTTTCAAAACCTGTTCTTGTTTAGCTTGGCTGCACCAGAAAAGTTTCTTGAACATAAATAAAACAGGAGCTCAGGCGTGGATGTGAATCTCAATGCGCTCGTTTGCAGCTACATTGTGACTCAGTAATGTTACAGAAATAAAAGGCTACTGTCAGCGTCCTGCTAAGAGCGTCTGAAAAGTTATTAAAACAGCTGCTGTTGGTGCAGATAGACGCTCCAGACAAGCAAACAAAAGCTCATCCGATCTAAATTGACGGCTGCAGCTTGTAATTTCTGGCAGCTCACAGCTAAAAGTTGAAGTAGCAGGAAGCATTAGCAGCTGCTTATGAGTTGATTACAGCAGATTGTCTTCTACGCTGATGACACTCGTCTTTCTGCGTTCCGGTTCTCAGGCGGAGCTCTTCTTTCGGAGAAGCAAATAATCTCATGCGGCTCATACCGAGTGTCTGAACTTTCCTTCCAATCTTATTACAATTCCCCCAGCAGTTCATTCGGTTTGATGTTAAAGCAGAAACATAATTCGGAGAATCCGGCGCTGCTGTTGCTTCCATCTGACAAGAAAGCTGATTAATTTCTTTTGATTTTGAGACTTTGAGGTTCGGTTTGCTGGTTTATCCTCGACTCAGCAGACAGATGCTGTTTAATTCCACTCGCTGGGTATCCAGATAAGAAGAAGTGTTGTAAATTTGGATGGAGAAATTATCAGAGGATTCGCTGACAAAAAAAAAAACAGGCCGCTTTGAAGATGGAGTGATTTTGTTTCCCAGGTTGGATGTTAATTTTAGGCAGAGCATTTTTAGAATCAGTTTTTTTTTAGACGGTATTTATTTTTCCGTGTTTTTCCTCCTTTCTCCTCATTTGACAGCAACTCTAACCCCTACACTCCTCATGTTCTCGCATGCTGAATGGGGGGAATGATCTGTAAATCGTCTTGCTTGCTTTGGCTCCGGCTCTGCTCGCCTCGCTGTGACAGCCATGTGAAGAGTCTTTCGGCATCTGAGCTTGTTGTGACCTCGCCAAATAAATCTGTATTTCTCACATTCCTCAAAAGCATCTCCAGTAATGACAGTAAAAACTGTTCACACAAAGCACACGCCACCACTCTCTGCCTCAGCAGGGTTCGCGCTAAATGTTTCATGAGCTGCGCTGCTGCTTTCTTTCTTCCACACAAAGTGCAGAGCAGGATTCAAGCTTTGTGCGAGACGAGAGGCAGAGATCTTTGATGAACTTTTAGCTTCTGTATTGTCCCGGCTCCAGATGGTCCGGAGAGAGAGAGAGAAGTTGCTTATTCTCTGAGCAGCAGACTGAATGAACTGAAGCCTCTTACAGCTTCACATTCAAATCTTCACACATTTGATGTTGATCTCCAGCTTTTTGCTTCTTTGAGTCGTCGGCTGTGACCTGGTGTCTTTTATTTTTGATATTTTAGAATGATATTTGATTTTTTTTTTCTCCATTGTGCCTTGTAAAGGTTCACGTTTTGTCACATCAGCAAAATACAAATTTTGTTACATTTTGTTGTATATAAGCACATCGTACAACATAATTGTAAAATGCAGAAAATGATACATGATTTTAAGTTTTTTTCTGAAATACATTTTTATAAAATGTGGTGGAATTTTCTTTTTTTTTTTTTTTCACCCAATCAGAATCAATATTTGATAGTCACATTTTTCCGGCAAATAAACCAAAACATTCGTTTCAGAATGTGCTGCAAAGTTTGGCAATCTAGACACCAACCTTTATTTATGATTTTTTTTTTGTAAACTTGCTCTGGTTTAAACTAATCTATTGCAGCTCTTGCTATACGTTCACAGTGATGAACGGCTGCCACAGATTTTAGGTTTTCTGCAAAAATTTACCAGGTTTTCTTCAAAAATTTCTTGACAGATACCCGATGCCCCCCACCGCTGTCTGTTCACGTTGGTTTTGGCCGTTCAGTTCGTCTTTGCTGTTTCTGGTAATTCATCAGATGACACCAAACTGCCTGCTTGTCTTCTCCCTCTCAAAAGGCGCCTGTGAGGAGAATAAAATGTGCACAGTTTGAAACATGACTACAATGCAAACATCAACGTTCTCTTTACGTCACCAACACGTCTCTCCGTACTGGTCGAGCTACGAAAACTGTAAAAATGACAAATCGTCTTTTCAAAGTTTTTGTTTACGCTAACACTGTGGTGATCAGGCTTTTTTGGTTTTTTTTTTTTTTTTTTTTTTTTTTACCAAGAATTGGAAGCACTTCTTTTACAAAAGTTTTATACATAAGCTATATATATTTTTAAAACAAATGTTTGTGCTCAACAATAGACTCAAAAATACAAATCTAATTAAAATCAGCAAAATAGTGGAATTGTAAATCTGTAAGTCATTATAGGAACAAAACAGAAAGGTCTTGAGACAGTCCCACAGTTTCTACATTTTTCTTATTTGAGAAGTAAGACATCCTTTTGAGAAAAAAGCAAATCGGTGTTTGTGTTTCTAGTTGCTCCAAAATTAAGATGAATGCAAAAAACCTTGTGAATGAAAGGGAATCTATTTTTTTGTGCTTAATATTTTTTGTATGTCTGTATAAATTGAACTGCAGCACGCAGGTTGAATACTGCTTTAACTGGATTACATTGTGAGAAATGTGGAGTGTTGCTTCCAACAAATTACTTCTGCACAAAGGGAGGAAACAACCTTGATCATTTGGGTTATTCTGAACTGGACAATTGCTGACGCTCATCAGGGTGAAAAACATTACAAATCTTTCTCTAAGGACTCCCGCCCAGCAATCTGCCCAAAAAACAAAGCGTGTTTCTCAGAGCGAGCCAATGAACTCAAAGCAACCGCTATGAAAAACTAAAGGTCTCACTCGTATCGACGGATGTCAGTGTTCGTGAGGCCGTCAAGAGGAATCCGCTGAGGAAGAGTTGTGGAAGGACTTGAAGCGAGAAGCTCGAGTGAGGAAACTGCATAAGTTTAATCTGTCCTGTACGGCTGAGTGGGCTGAAGTTCCTTCAAGCAGAAATGAGGCTGAGGTTATTTTCTGCACAGGTGGGGGTCAGACTGACATACTGAAGTCAAAGGATCACAAAGTTTTCATCAGAAGATGAAGGGTCACAAAGTTTTCATCATCACGGTCATAACAATTAACACCGAGCACCAGCATCCCAGAGTGTAATGAACAAGTCCAGAAGGAAAGAGAAAATATATAGTACAAAAATAAAACTCCTAATAGTTCAAAATCCATATTTGGCTTTCAGAAAATGTTATTTGTAATCAGGTATTACTGTGCAAAAGTTTAAGTCAGTGCAATTATTAGTTTAGGAGACAAATTTTCCAGTTATCATTCAAAGTGGTCCTGGTGGTGAGTCTTCAGGCTTTCTGAAGATACATTGGTTTTCTTTGAGCATTATGAGTAAATAAGGTGCTGAAACCCAAAGGATGAGCCAGTTTTGTGTCAATGAGCAATTTTGCAAAAAGCTTTGTACCCAGAAGTCTCTTTGTCCCACTTTGTGAGAAAAATCTACGAAAACACAGAAACGTTAGCCCGCTTCACCACACCGACGATTATCGGCAATGTGGTTCCCACAGAACCATTAGCTGAAAAGTGAAGATAATCACGGTAAATTGATGCTCAGAATGTACGCTACTAAAAAAAGCAAAAAGCTAGATTAGTTTACAAATGCACAGACATGTTCTGTGGTCAGACATAACAATAATTCAACCTTTTGACAGAAAAAGGGAGACACTTACAAAGCTGAAAACACCATCTTATTGTGTTATAGGCAGCAGTTCAATTACAACCCTGAAAGGATTAAGAAAAACAACAAATATAGGATGAAATAATATTAAAAAGTAATGACAGCCTCAAATCTCTCTAATAGGTTTGATTATTACAGATTTCCAGCACAGTGAGGGAAGATACAGGCCCCAGGGATTTTAGGAGACGTATAGAAAGATCAACACAACCTTCCTCTACTGCAATTCCTTTCAAATTGCAGTAGATAAATCGCTGCACAGACTTCTTGCTGCAGAGATAATTTAATAATTTACATTTCAATCGAAGACTGAAAATTTAACGTGGATTGAAAAGTTATCAATAAATTACCCCTGGAGCAGGAAGTAAAGTCTGCAGAAGTTTGAATCAATTTTGTTTTTAATCTGAAAAACAATTTCAGATGAGAGAGTGAGTTCAACAACCGAGTCGGTACACAAGAGATGAGACAGTTTTTACGCAGAGTTTATGATTTTACTCCCTAAATGTGTTTACAGATGTACAGCCCAGAGTGTAAAAACAACAATCAATCTTTAAAGTAACATTTTCTTGGAGAGCACAACCTCCAAGACCTCGTTCCTAGAAACACACAGCATGATTACGATTCAATCACGGTTCGAAAATCTGACATGACCTAAAATCCCAGCTCAGCCCACCTCAAGGCCCCCACTGCATGTTTGCACTGCAGCTACTAGTCAGCCAGACTTGGAGAAGCAGCTCACTTGATATTCCTTTTCATAATGTATCAAACCAAGGAGACTTAAAAGGCGAGATCTGCAGGGACAAGATCTGGAGCGCATGCTATAAATATTAATAAGGTGCAGCAAACTTACACACCTTATTAAAACTTGATCTATAACGACATGCTCCAGATCTCGCCTCGTCGTACTGTCCTGTTAGACTTGTTCTCCCGGAGAAACAAGGCTCTGAGCTGGATGACGTGCAAAATATTCCCCGAAACATTTTACATCAGTGTGTGTGCTTACAGCTGTGTTCTTATTAGGAGAAACACTTCCAAACAAGCATGAATTAGTGAGGCTTTATGAGAACCTGAGTCAGATGGTGTCTGAAAGGTTACATCATTTAAAAAAAAACCCCAAAAAACCCCATTACGACAGAAGTTTTTCTTCTAGATGATAGAAAATAAGAGACCAAAGTTATTTCTGAAGTTGATCAAACTTTCAGCTCGTGAGTAAGCCTCTGGACGAGTTTGTGTTTGTAGTTTTGACGAGTCCGGAGGACCAACAACAAAAAAGACATCCAGAGGTTATTCCTTTTGGTCTGTCTCCGCGGAAAAATCTGCCCGCTCTCTCTTTACTGAAACCGTCTCGTCTTTTACGCCGGCGTCCTCCGTCGGCAGCGTTGCTCCCCTTTTCCTTTCCTCCTTGATTTTGTCCTTTTTCACTTTGTCCTTTGCAGAAATGCCACGAGGAGGCTTGACATCAGCGGTGGCCTCGGGAGAGAAAGTGGAGCTCTCGCAGATGGCGGGTCCCTCCCATTTTGGGATTTCTAAATCCAGCAGCTCCATCAGCTGCTTCATGACATCGTCCACGTAACCGTTTATACGCAGGTGGGCGTGTTTGTCCTGCAAAATATCCACCACAAAAGAGATGATAAGGGATCGACCAAAAACTTTAATGTATTTTATCACTGCAATTACAGCTCCAAGTCTTTTGGAGTATCTCTGCAGCTCTATAGCTCAAATCAGATGTACGGAAAGTGTCTGGGCAATAATATTCCAAGTACTGCCATACAGTCTTAATTAAATTTAGGTTTGGACTGTTTTAGTGCAATAAACATGATATAACTTGAACCAGTGCAATGATAAAGTTTATGGACATTGCTCATGCTGGAAGGTGAACCTCTGGCTCTTGGTCTTCATCGTGTTTGCTCACCAAATTTTCCCTGACAAACCTTCACACAGCAGTGTCATTTATCCTGGGATTCATCAACACACAATTAATTGATTTGTGGTTGAAAAAAAACTGGTCGGAAATTATTTTATGTATCAGCAGGAAAGTGTATACTTCCCTACTCTCTCGCATGCAATATATTAAATGTTGTCTTTGTGTTATAAGTGGTATCCAGGTACATAATAAGTGTCAGAAGTTATGCATTTTAATCCATAAGATTATCTGTGGATGAGTTCAATTAGTTACTTTAAATTGTTTGAAAGAACAATACAAAGTCAAGAAAAAGCCTTTGTCTAATTTTCTATTCCTGTCAGAGATCCCTGTTTGAGTCTGATTGCAATGAACAGACCTGAAAATTGTAATTACTCCTCAAATAATGGCCTACACCGCAATCATTCGCCTAATGAAATGTTTTCCACTAGTGATTACAATGAAAGCATGTGCAGTGTGAGTAAACTGCAATGCAAATCACCAGAGAGAAAAAAAAAGAGGTGAGCCCAAAATAGGTTCCCCGTTTTCCTTTCATTTGGCAAAACAAATGAATAAAAACATCTCCAAAAGCATGAATTTCACAAACACATCATGAGTAAGAACCGGTTCTTACACTGGTCCGGTAAGAACCCAGCAGTAACACCAGACAGTGACGAAGCTTCAAACTAAACAAATGCAGTGAAACCCTCTTTGTCGTTGTGGATTTCTGCAATGCAAAAGACAGCGGACCCTCGCACCGTGACACACTCCTGCACTCACCATCAATTATGTATCATATACACAATCACTTCACTGATGTACATAAATACCGACTCAGTTTACAGCTTGGAGAAACTATTTGAGATACGGTCCCAGACTAGTTTAAAAAAAATAAAAATAAAAATCACCACAACAAACCAAATTAGGTTTTGACACCTGATTTTGCTTCGGGGTCTGCCTCAAGTGGACATGTGAGGAATTGCTCTTTCTGCACATTTCCATTGCGAGACAGAAGGACCAGAAAACAGCGATTTGTCACAGCAATATCAGTGTTTATATCCCTGTTATCCTAAAGTGAAGAAATGATCCACAATGGCAAAACAACAGATTTCTCCTCATTAATAAACTTTGTTACTCCCTTCCCCATTTCCTTCTCATAAAGTTTATTTTTTCTGCTGTGAATTCAATGAAACATTTTAACTTTGAATAAGGTGGTGCAAAAAAAAAAATGTAATAAAACTGAGCTGCATGTAGATACGCAGGGTTGTCAGCGCTGGTCCTCAGGGCCTTATTCAAGTCTTAAAATGTGTTGGCTGCAACACACCTGATTCAAATCATCCTACAATCTCTTCATTATCGCTAAAACAAGAACTAAAACTCCAATGTTTATTCTTTTCTTGTTTGGCTTTTCTGTTGTAAATTAAAGCAGTTATTATCTACAAAACCATAATATTTCAAGTCACACCTTCAGATTCTACACTTGGAGGTCAGTTTTCTCCTCACAAACAATGAAATATCTCCCAGATGAAGTTCTGGACGTGTGTCTTGATGTGGCGTGTGGATGAGACTCACATGTTTGGTTGGTTGCAAGTTGACGATAACCACTTTCCCTCCTTTGCGCTTTGTGAGGAGTGGGAGGTCGCCGCTGGGTTTGATCTGCATGGACGTGCCCAGAGTCAGCGCCAGGTCTGCTCGTCTGCATGCCAACACCAAGGAGTACAAATCAGCCAAAATAAGCAGATGTGACTTTTTGACAGTCCTCCGATTTGCCTGTTTGTCCTCAAGGGTTATTCCTGCATGTGGGAGTCCATGAAAGTCAGTGTGGAAAACAGCACTGCTTGGGTAAATATCTGGTAAGGACGGGAATCTGGATGTATTTTTTGTTTACTTGCATGTCTGTAAGAAACCTTTAACATCTCTACTGCAAATCATCAAATCTTGCAGGGACAGAGGTTTACAACCAGGTGTCTCCGTGTGTCTTGCAGTACGTGTGTCTTGATGACAAGAAGCCTGCATAAAAGTGTAGCTGAACTTCTTTTTCTGAATCTTCAAGATGTCGTTTTAGCTCTCGTCCTCATCCCAAACATATCTGCAGTTCTCGCCGTCCAGAAGGGAGTTTCGGGCTTACGAGCTGCGGTTGGATTATTCGCTCTCCTTGCGGCTGGGTTAAAAATATCTCATCTAGTAAATATACGTGATCTGCCCGAGAAAAAGTATCTCATGTTTAGCTCCCCTACATTTACCGTAGTCAAAAAGTGAATTGCTAATCATTTTTCCTTTATGAACTCCATTTAATAAAATAAATATTTATCATTCATGTTTAGTTATAAACTAAATGCCTACGTTCCGGCGTTTGTTGCTGTCCAAGTTGCAGGCTTGCACAAAATGTATTTTTTGGTGTCAAGACTAACACAGTATTTGCATAGATTTATATCTGTACTAACAGTTTTCCAAGATTTTTATTCAGCTTTTTTTGCCTCATTTAACATTGCAATGGTGTCATCCTGAAATCTGAGATAAATGTTAATTTGTTCTGTCTTTTTTTTTTTTGTCCTAGTCAGAAATTCAGAGGGTCACTTCTTAATAAAGAAAAAAAAACACGGTGAACAGATTGTTTTGGGAAAACATTTGGTGTCGATAAGACTTGAGAAACACAGAAGCTAAACAACAGCTTGTGTTGTCGCTGCAATCGTCTTCTCTGTATCACTGTGACTGAAATAAGGCTAACGCAGCTAATCCCCGGCAGGTTCTTACAAAAGACCATGCTGGATGCAGCTCTGGTGCTATAACTCGCACATTCACTTAAAATGACAAAGCAACTTATACAAAAGAAGAGAAATTTCAGCTAGTGGGTCGAGTTTAAGCCTGATCACGCACACCACACAAAATTTAAAAGCATTGCAGCTTCACATTAAATCGCTTTGAATGACTCGCTGGTTCTACCTTTTTTTCAATGCTACAAACAAACAATTAAGAGTTCAAAGGTCGGTGCTCTAAATCCCCTCTCCGCAATTTAAATGGTAATTATGAGTCCATTATGTGTCAGCAGATCAAGGCGACACAAGCGCATCCTTTTCTACCCTCTTGCAGCTTTGTAAACACGCAGTAAAAGCTTTGGTGGATGAAGGAATGAATGAAAATGTTAAACCCGACTGAGGTGAACATGTAAAGCCTGGAAAAAAAAGGTTTTCAAACGAGACCTTCAGGACAGGGCTCGACTGAATCAATCCCAACACTTTGACTATTTTTTTTTCTTTTACTTCACAGCACAGGTTTGAACTGGCGTTTGTACCTTTCACTGTCAGATGAAACGGGGATGTTGGAGGAAACGAGATCTGTGTGTTACTCTGTGATAACGACAGGTGATGAAACAATGATTTAGCAGGTTTCTCTCACCTGCTTGCATCATCTGCTCTGTTCAGGTCTCTGTCAGGCAGAGCATCCTCCCAATCCAGTATGGTGCTGATCAGCTTTCCTCTTCAGTGTTTAAAAAAAGTGAATAAGCACACAAATAAATAAATCACAATGAGCAGGTTTTTTTTTTTTTTTTCTTCTTCCGCCCTTTTCAAATGCACAAGCCTGTGCGTGTTTTACCTGCAGGCCCTCAGCCCTCTGGACCGCACCACCTCGCAGTGACGTCCTGTCGGTTTCAGCCCCATCACACCGATCACCTTTTCCCTCACGTACTGCCTGGAAAACAGCAAATCCCAGAAGTTTAACACTTGAATGCATCCACCTCCATTTGCTCCACTTCCAGGAGGAAAATCAAGCGGCTCAGAGGCACCACTGCAACCTCCATGTGCTCGTACTCCTGCCTGAGTTTATCAATTCATGGGTTATAAAGAACAATTTGGAGATGTTCTGCAAGGATTTTTTTTTTTTTAAATATCGTGTAGCTGAAGCAAAATTGTTTAAACACAATGTACTCGACAGCCCCGCTTTTCCACTTTCTGTCCCTAAGGCGACCTGCTGAGAGAGAATGCCATGAGAGAGAAAACGAAGCCGCATTCTTTTTCTTGGGAGCATCTGGAGACGATAACTCTGCATTAACCTTTTTCTGAGTCGTTCTCTGAACGCGGGCGTATTGTCTTGCAGGAGATAATCAGCAAACATAAAGCTAATTTAAAATTAATTATAACAGCGCCTTGAGTGTTCAGAGAATTAAACTTAAGCTGAGTTTATTTTTTGCCCATGTTTCTCTTCTTTTTCTCCTGCTGCAGGCTCTACCCGTCAGCATCTCTGAGCTTCTACCTGTGTGGCATTTTCCTTGAATATTAATAAGCATGTTTTTCTTCCAAGGATTCTAAGAAACACAGAGTTTAACCCAAACATAAAACCCGAGCAAGTCCTGGCAGTGCGATGCCAGAGACTCTGCTGACACCAGCGATCATGATGTGCAAGAATGCTCAGGCGCGATCTGATGTCTGTGAATAGTAACTGAGCCTCTTGTCTGCATGTTTTATGGATGATGCTGCAGCCACATAGTTCCTGCTTGTGTTCTGAGGAATTTCGACTAATAACTCATAAAACCGAGTAAAACGCAGCAGCATAGTAAAAACAACAACAACAACAACAACAAAAAAAACCCAGAGTATTCTGAACATTTTTCCACCACAAATTCCTGAAATGTTAATAAAATGTCTGACATCCTTTGGCCAACATACCACTGAGATGAAGGCGAATAACTTCTCTTTCAGGTCTGTGCTTACAGTGTTTTTTCATAGCGGCTGGAGATTTGGGGGGTGGAGTAAAGCGCACCACGCCACACGATGTTTGTTCCACAGGGAGGGAGCCTATTTTCAGGTGCAGCCTCATGTTATCGTGCAAACAGAAACTTGAACACCTACTACACTTGATTAGGGCTGAAACGATTAATCAGATTAATTATGATGAATTGATTACCTTCAGGTAATTTAGCAATAGATTAATGGTGAACTTTAAATACAGACTCCAAAGGGATGATCTGTTGAAAGAACGACTGGCTTTACCCAGTTAAGCCAAAATTGTGCAAAAACAAACATGCTTTTTGCATTCAAGATAAAAAAAGAAACTTCTTTGTCTGTAAATATATTCCATCCAAAACTTTCTGGAAATCTCCAATTAAACACCTTTTGTGATCCAATTATTAATTGGCTAATTTAAAAGGATTCTCATATTTTCTTGCATTTTAGACAAGAATTTATTTTCCTCATCTAACAAAGGAATTTAATTACTTGTTTATCTGATTTTGTTTATGCATTTCTAATACTTAAACTTGAAGGCTTAAACAGAAAACCTGCAGAATGTGGCAGTTTTTTTTTCTGATTAATCAATAAATCACTGGAATAATCCACAGATTAATTGATAACTAAAATAATCGTTTGTTGCAGCCTCGTTGATTCTTTAAGAGCATTATAAAAGTATAAAAGACATCTGAAGGAGCAGACACTTGATCAGGATAACACAAATTAAATAAAACTTCAACTGGTCCTTTTCAGCGCTGGCATGTGACTAGAGTACTTTCACAGAAGCTACGCGAACTAAGATTTCCAAAGAGCTTCAAAAACAATTCCGCCTTTTTCAAGGTTTCTCATTTTTCTATCAGCACAAAGCGAGCACAGTGGGGTCTCCTTCCATGACTAAGTGAGCGGCAGCCGTTGCTCTTATTTAAGTAATGCTGTTTTGAAACTGAAATTAGCAAGCACTCTACCTAATGAACCATCTCATTCATATCAGCCTTTTAGAGTTGTGTTGCTCTGCTGCCAGTAACTCCTCTGGCCTGTCAAATGAACTCTCACTGACCCCGATGAAGATATTGACATTAAGACAAAAAGAAATTTGGGTTAAAAGTATTAGAAACCACAGATATCAGTTTTGCCAAAATCCTTGATGTGAAGCCAAACCTTATTAAATATATCCACTTAATATGGTCATGAATAACAGTGAATAACTTAACAAGAAGAATTAGACTTTAATTGTGATTTCATTAAGAGAAGGAATGTCTGAATGTCCAGAAATAATTCATTTTTAACAGGCCTTATTGCTTCATAAAGGAATTTGTGGTTTCAGAAAAAAAGAGTAATCACACTTTCATTCCCCAGACAGAGAACAGATGCAGTCTGTGAATTTATATATTAAAAAAAAAAAAAAATCAAGAAGCCACAAATACCGTAAAACAAAATTAAATAATGAATAAATTGAAATGTAAAACCTAGGAAAATCTGGGTGTTTCTAACAGTTTTAAAGGTTGAAAATAAAGATGAATAAATATAAGATTTTTTTTATGATGCCATAAGATTTCACAGAGAAACTGTTTTCCCAATGCCTTAAAGTTAGTTTTATGATCAAGTGGTAACTGCTCTGGTGTTTGTGAGTGTTCATATTCGTACCTGCCACATTTCTCGCATTCCTCCACAAACATGTTTCCATGAAGCTCTGATAGTTTATCCCTGGAGGAATGAGGAGATAAGTTCACAACAGCAGAAAAACACACACACACACACATTTACATAAGACCTAAAGCTAAAGTAAAAGTATGAACTTTTTAGGATACACTTTTTCTTTGTTGTTTCATGAATCTTCAAGAATACATCTTCTGTTGTTTCACCTGGCACTTCTACGGTTTAATCCCAGACAGATTATTCTACCGGTTCATCGGCCGTTTTGGTGATTTCCTCTGAGAACTACTCCTTCACTGTCTGACCTCATTTCAAAAAAACTGATTGAGGGTGGAGGAAGGGCTCTATGTAAATGATTTCCAAGAAAAGCAAGTCCTCCAATATGCAGAAAGGCTGGATGTACGAACAGAATAAAAAATTGGACTCTCAGCCCTGGGCTCAGTCCAATATGACCGAGTAATACTCAAGCAGACCACACACTTTCAGTGGCACCCAAAATTTGATTTCAGATGAACTCAGCTCTGATGGTGGTATGGCTGTTATTACAAAGCAGCAGCAGCAGCAACCTCTAATTTAAAACAATGAGTTGAAGCCAAACACACCAATTTATCAGTTTATTCATGACATTCTCCACTCCAGCTACAAAACACTCAACAAAACACCAACAGTAAAATTACAAAGATGTAAGAGACACTCTGGGCCAAAATCACCAATATATTCAGCCTCTGCTCATTGCTGGATGGTAAAACTACTAAAAGATTTTAAGATTTTTTTTTTTCTGGCACAACTTTTTCTTACTTCAAAAGCTTTCAGATGGGGATGAAAACTCAGAGCTGCTCATTTAAGAAAACAACAACAAAGAGCATCCTCTTCATTTTCAAGTGTTCAGTTGTAAATTTGGATCAATGCAATGTTATCCTTGATCCAAACCTAACATTCAGGGGTTCTTCAATCTTTTCATCTTGTTTTGTGTAGTCAGTGTTACCAGAACTGTCCATTTTCTTCTACTTGGCCTAATTTTATTACTTAAGACACAAATTGATGTACTTTAGTGTCGAAAAGCTGGCTTTGGATGCCCTGGGTGAGATTTTGTTTTTCTCTTGAAAATTGGTGTCTTCCTAAAGCTGAACTCTAGCAGGGGGGATATGGATCTAAATAACACTAAACTGAGACAAGGAGGAAAGTCTCACTCATGCTCAGCTTCCAGAGATTGTAGTCTGCTGCAGCGTCCTGCCGTTTTTACATCTAAAACAAACAAACCGCACCAAGAAAGAGTCGAGGCAGATATATTTTTACATATATTCCCACCAACTGAATGATGTTACCTGGGGAAGCCTGATCGAACATGCAACCCGTCGACATTCTGGCTGATGAGGTATTTCAGGTATCCTGCCCTTTGCAGTCCCAGGAGGGCCATGTGAGTCAAACTGGGGCGGGCATCTTCAAATGTGGTTTCAAAGTGAGGTGACTCGCCCTTTTCTTCTAGCGTCCACACACCCTTGGGACCCCTGAAGGAGAATAAACGAGTCTGGTTGAAAAGGTGGTGATGTAGCAGGTGAAGAAGGCAAAAAAAACCCCAAAGAAACAAAAAAAAAACATGCTTGCAATGCTTTCAAGTTTTAAATTGAGCATAACCAGCTTAAAGGCAACAACGTTGTGCGTAGGGAAGGACTGTCAGCCAACAGTAGGAGCTCATAAAAGAGTAAAAAAACAAAAAACACAGCAATAAATCAAGACATGTCTAATGTGGCTACTTTTGGAGACATATTGAGGAAAGATGAATCTAAGCTAGGGACAGTCAAGACGGCATTTTTGGTTATAATGTTGGATAAAGACAAATATAGTCATTTCACTCCATCTTTGGAAATATAAGCACATCAGAGATCAGAAAACCGACCATATAGTGAATTAATTCAAATGTAATTTATGCATCGTTTTTCTTTTAACAAGGGTTTGTTAAAAGAAAAACATTTGACTATCTGCTGAAGTGCAGTGCCGCCCGATAGGGTTTTGTTTGGGCTCAGTTTCAGGTGTCTGGCTGCACTAATGAAAGCAGTGCTGTTGCCATCGCTGCAGTCGTCCAACACCCTGATAGTTGCCAAGTTACTTTGAGAACAAACTTATCTCCCTGCATCAGAGATGGGAACACGTCCTGCTGCAACAGACTCATCTCTCGCTTTAAACGGCCAGCGGCCTCATCTTTCATCCGCGCCGCAGTTTATTGCTTGCTCAGCAGAGACGAGCTCAAAGGCTCCTCAGTGCCGATGCGTTAAAGTGTACGTCACATATCCTGGACGTCATGTATCACCATTAAAATAAAAAGGTAAGAGGACAAAGAGGAATGTTAATTTATCTACATACTCCAGGGATTGTTCAAGATATTGGCGTCTTGAGGGAATAAACCTTTTCTGTTTGTGTGTTTTTATAAACAAGAAAAATGCATTTGCTTATTTTGAATCTATGCTTCAGTAGTGTACCCCCCCAGGTCCCCTGAGGCATAAAGTCTGGGCATAAAAATAAAAAAATTCAACTGCTACAGATCCTAAAGCACGTGTGTGCAAGTGTATTCAGACAGGAAAAATATGCACAATTGCTTTCATTTTTAACCCATTATGAGTATGACCATCAAAAAAAGTATCTAATTTAGAAGGATATAATATAGGCCAATGCAAACTTACATTTGCTGTCTTTTATGTAACACAAGCTAGTTTAGAAACTCAGAGTTGTGCTTAAAACTCAACGTCTTGCTTAGGAATGAATTGAGTACAGATTCAAATTGCCTGTGTGATTTATGAAGACATGAACCAAAAAAAGAGAACAGAACAGAAAAAGAGAGAGTGCAAACCTTTCATGCTATCGTTGCTCAGTCTTTTTTTTAATTCCTATACTTTCTCCCTCTGGCATGTTAGGTCAAAGATTTTTTTCTGGGAAATACTCAGTCTGTTTCACAGATCTACCTGAGGATTACACAGAAAAAAAATAGATCCCATGTCCTGTAGTTGAGTCTTGTATTTGACCTTCATATTAGTTCCAATAATTGTGGAATCCAGTATGGAGGGAAACAGCTTTATAAATGTCTCCCAGATGACGGGAAATTACAGCGGATCTTCTAAAAATCATTGTTCTTCCTCACTTGAGTGAGATCTGTATGTTTTGATCGAGGAGTTCAGACTTACTGAACTCCCAAAAAAAAACAAAAAAACATATTTATGAGAAATAAATCAAGTTCTCTTACCAAACAGTTTTCTTTGTTTATATTTTCCCACAGGTTTTAAAAAATAGTAAACTGTAATGTTTTGTGTTGTTATCGCAGGTTGAATTGAGCAGAAATTCACACCGGGTAAAGTACTGATCATTTCACAAGTTTCTTATTTTTCTCTTACAACTTGGAATTTATACTCACACTGCTGTCAGTTCAAATATAAACCCTCTTTCAACGAAAGGTCAGGAACACTGTCTTGTGGTTTATAGATGCAGTAGTTATGTAGGGCACCGAAACAAAGCAAATCTTTATGTAACCGAGAAGCTGAACTCATGTCCTTTTATCCTCACCAGCCTGACAGAGTGGCATATAACGCAAACACTGCCCTCTTGTGTTCAAACGAAGATGCTACAAAAAGAACATGGAAAACTACATTGAGGGGGATATTATACTGCACGTAGAAATAATTATTGAAAAAATTAAATAACCCGGTTCACTGAAGGTTGAGCTCCTGCCTGGATTCACAATGTCAGATGATCTCCTCTAATATATAATCTATAAGAAAAGGGCAGTTTAAAACAATAAGAAAATGTTATATAGTTTGGAGAATAGGAATAATAATTCACACAATAATTCATTTGAGCTTCCAGTTTCTGTCTTTGAACTGTTCAATACCTGGTAGGTGTTTGTTTTCATTTAATTTAACAGAAACAAGCTAGCTTGGCTCTCCTTTTAATATAAATACACTCCTCCATGTTTGGAAAAATACTATTACGTTTTTCATGTAGCTGCAATTTAGCAGAAAAAGTCTCCTCTATATATTACAAAAGACAAAGAGGCCAAAATCATTTCTAGTACAATACAATTGAAATCAATACAGTTAATTTCTATTTATTTTCATGCAATCGAGTCATATAGTTAGTTTCACACACATGGTCCAAATAGTCCTATTTGTCATACAACGTTGTAACAAATTCAATAAAAACATCTAGAGGACATGAACCACCCAGATATAAGAAATCCAATTTAGAGCTAAAACAAGTACTAAAAAAAATCAGTATGGGGAAAAATGTGTCTTTATTCTATAAATAAATACCTAGAAGTTGAAAAAACGTCTAGGTTGGTCACTGTGAAGAGCAAATTTTCCTCTTTGCTTATTGATTTCCTATTCATTTGTTTGTTTCTCTCCATTTAGACAAACAGCCTCACAATAGCAGCGCATTATTGAAGCAGCTTCCCTGCTGATGTGACAATTACAGTAATGATCAATTTCATTTTGCTTCCACAGATTATCTTCGAGGGAGATTTCCACAAACAGCACAGATTAGTCCGACAGGTTGCACGCGCGCACACACATCTTTCCTCACAGCCACACAAAATGCATCAACAGAACATCAACATTTTGGCACTAATGTAGCATTTCTGATAACTATAGTTCCAAAAATGCAAGACATAAAAAAATAAAATAACTAAACTCTATTACACCGGGTGACAAGCAAAGATAATTTGATGCACTGCAAAGACCAGCTGAGGTCGCCTCTTAAGGTGTGGTTGTTATTAAATGAAAACTTTACTGCTGTTCCCTAATCAAACTTAATGACAGTCTTATTTAGCACTACAGTAAGGAATGTGAAGAAACCCCCCAACTCTTTAAGCACAGCTAAAGAGCCTTATTAGTTTCCTGTACTAATAAGGTGGGAAGCTTTGATGTGACACCAGAAGCTATGCTTTCACCACATTTTTCTACAACAATGATTCGGTAAGACTTGATTGTGACACTGTGTACACCGTTCCAACCAAATTAATGTAGTAATTTACAATTGAATGTGACTCAGGACAGGCTCTACAGTGATTCTGTCTCACCTGAAGTCAGGAATGCCTGATGAGGTGCTAATTCCAGCTCCAGAGTGAACAACCAAGTACTCAGACTCTTTAATCAGCTGAGCAAGGGTCTCCACTTTTGCCTTTAGCTCCTCAGAACTGTCGAAACTCTGCCAATGGACAGAAAATACAACAATGAACTACTGGAATAATCATACGGACATCAGTGATATTTGTTTGACTCATACATAAAAAGGAAGCAACATCTTGAGAGCATAGTATTTAGCATAGTATTTCATAAAACAGATGAAAATGTGTGCATATGCATAAAAAAATATGATCAAAACAAAGAAAGCCTGACGTTTTCACACCAATTAGTCTATTTAAGGGAAACCAATGTTGTACAATAGCAAATATTATTACCGAAGACTTTATTTATTCACCACATTTAAAGACCTGTGGATGAGTAGATCATTAGTAGAATACAATCTAAGAATGATGTAGTGAGAAGAATCATTTGGGACGTGGTCCTAGAGGAAGAAACAATCTCTGTTAATCAAAGTTTACATAAACTAGTAATACAGGACTTTTGGCTTCCTGCATCATATAACAGGACATGATGCTGGGGGTCATTTCGCTTAGCCACTGGCCTTTACGCTGTATGGGGCTCCATGTTCATCTGACGACCCCAAACCCACAGCATTGCAGTGAGAAAGGTGAAGAAAAGTCTCCAAAACTCGCAGATTGAGAACTGCAGCAAACTCTGATATCTTGCTGCCATCCAGGCTCAAAAACAACCATCTGCACATCAAGTGTTTGTTCAAACATTTTTAAGACAAGTACCACATGTAAGCAAATATTGTGCTTAGAAATTAATGCTTCCAAAGATATAAAAATAACAACAACAAAAATAAACATTCATCTCCTCATGGCTGAATTTAAATAAAAAAAACAAAAACAAAAACATGAACGACATGTCAATAAGTGATTATAGAGAAGCGATTTCCTTGTAAGCAATTAAGATATAATCATTCTGGCATCAACAAATAAGTACAGACCAAAATATTTCGATGCAGGAAGATGGTTTACAGCTTTAGCTGTAGTTTGTGTTTTACCTTCACATAATACAACACAGCTCCTTCACAACTTTCTCATTTACTAAAACAATATCGGCTAAGATGCTAACTAGCTATTCAAAAAGCTCGTTTTAGAGCTGAAACGATTCATCATTTACCTCAGGCAGTCCGCAGACACCTTTATCTGCGTACGGAGAGAGACCAGCGGCATAATTCACTGACATAGTTGCAGCTGCTGTCTTTATTATTTGTATTAAAAACAGTTCATTTGCCCACAAGGGTTTTTCTCTTAGCGGCTTTGTTTGGAACACGTCATCACTGAGCGACGACCTGTGGTGCATTAACGCTTACTTGGACATTTTAATTTTAGATGACGAGCGTATATGTACGCGTTGTCTCAGAAAAACTGCAACTTAAAGATTTGGAAAGTACAGCCTGTACCTCATGTAAAGAAAATGTTAAAGTTTAATTTGAAAAACACAAAGAAACTCGCGACTTCGTTTTTTCACTGCGTTCGTGCAGTGGATAGATTATCATGCTGCGTTCACGATCCACGTATGATTGTCTAAAGAGCAAAATATATAGATTTATTAAAATTCTCCATAATTAATATTGTTTCACTCTATGGGGAAAAATAAGAAAATATTTTTTTTTTCTGCGTTACTAAAACCATTATTTAGTTCAACCTGAACCGTTTGACACAATTTTAATTTATACATATTTGATAGTGTTTCAACAAACCTTTTAAAATGTAGCATTTTTAAAGTTTGAAAAAAAGTTAAATTTTCATATTAGTTATTAAAAGAAATCTGAAAACTGAAACTATTTTCCATTCACAATGAATTTTTTCCAGTTAATAAAAATCGAATTTAATTTTTTCTTCCGGCTGCATAGAATCTCTGCTCAAATAGGTAGGACTAAACTCAAACGTCAACTCAAAGTCTTCGATTCACACAGCACTGCATATTGTTCTTTCAAATAAATCTTTATTTCTCAATTTTAAATAGCTGAAATAAAAAACAGACACAGGTAAATAAAACATGGTGATCATTTGTACAGCTACGTGTGCATATTGATTATGGTTCCTGCAGAAGCTGTAAACCAATACTGAAGACCACCAGAGGAAATTAATTACTTGTCTTAATTGTTTTGTCGCATGTAATTTTCTCCTGAGAAATTCTTTATGATGTCCCAATTTAACAGAAAGAAAAATTTATATTGCTGGCAGGAAAAGAAAATGCACGCAGGACACCCATACACTCTAAAAATATTATCAAAATCTGTCCACTTTTAACTAACACAAAGAATAGTCATGAGAAATAAAAGAGCAATCTGATTCTTTACACTTCCACTTGAAGGGGTGAAAACATCAGTAATCCTAGTACTCCACCCTCTTACAAACACTATCTACAGATCTCTTGGTCAACCTTTTGAGTAAACAGTGCAGGCAAAATGTCTAAAAAAACAAAACAAAACAAACAAAAAAACAACTATAATGATGAAGCTTGCAAGAGAGGAAAATGCAAAGAAAGACAAAAAGCACGCCAAACACTAGTCAAAACGCTGAAGGTTTTCCTCAACACAATGCTTTAGGTCTTTGGGTCCGTCAGGCGTCGCCGAGACCGAGCCTAAGGAGAAATACAATTCTGATCAACATTGTTCCTTCTATCCCCGTTTCCCTTAAAAAAAAAGAGAGAAAATGCTCACTACTCCAAACACAACCCCCAAAGAAACATGTTCAACAGTAACCAGAAGAAAGCCAGCAAACATCAGACTCATGTTGGTGAAAATGTTCGAGTGAGGAGCCGACTTCTCCATCATCACGTCAAAGTCTTTGCGTCGTCCCGGGCCGTGAAGGAGGGAGGAAGCATTCCATCAGTAAGTAAGAGAGAGATGAAAAGCTTTCGAAAATGCTCTGGCATGCACAAAGAACTTTGAAAACACTGTCACATAACAATTCATTTGTGTCTTTTCCTATCAAAGAGAGAGAGAGAGAGGGAGAGAGCGCAAGAGAGACGCTGTGAAACTTAAGAAATGTTTGACATTTGCAGAGCTTTGTCCAGCACAAACAGTGCCACGTGAATTCTTCAGTTTCCATCAGAGAGCAGCAGCCACTTACAATTAGAGAAGTACAAACGCGAGAACAGGATAAAGAGGCTGAGTAATGTTTTGGAGAGGTTACACCAGTGAACATGTCATTGTTAGCAGTGGTACTTACCCAATAACAACACTTTATGCTAAACGCATGATCTAACAACACTGGAAAATGTGAGCATTTAGGAAATTCTCTCAAAAGTAAGGTTTAGGTGATGATGACGACCGGAAACATAAAGAAACTGGTGACTTTTTTTTTTTTTCTTTTGTTTTTTGCTGGTGCAAAAACTTTCCCAAGTCCGACCCTCTCAGGGCGAGGCATCAACTTTTAACCTCTAAGGCTCAAGGAAAAAAAGCTCTTATTGATTCAGAAGAAGGAAGCTTCCAATCTTGGTTGTAAACCTGGAGGATCTGGCAACCCGGGCAGAGAGAAAGAGGAGCATTCGTCGGATAGATCTTTTGCTGCAAAAGCAGGTCACGACTCCTCGTTGCCCGAGTCGTCCTCGTCGTAGCAGCAGTCGCCGTCCTCTCCCTCCACGTCGTCGTCGTCGTAGTAATAGTCGTAGAAGAGGTCGGAGCCCTCGTCGGGCGCTGGAGCGCGTGTGCGGACGCAGTACTCGGCCAGAGTCGTGGGCACCTTGACTCCATCGCGCTCGGCTTCCGCTTTGGTGGCCATCACTTGTTTCCTGAGGGCAGAGTTTGAGGGATCAGTTATGGCTTTGTGGCCTACATAAATTCAATGTTTTTAAAAGTTAGACAATACAGCAGCATGCCCGCAAAAGTACAAATTTCAACTTATTGTTTTGTTTTTCAAATGAAAATATTCAAGTGGAATCATTTTTTATTCTGAATTCACAAAATTAAATCCACTACAACAAAATAAGTATATAAGTCATCTGCTTTGTAAACAAAAAATAAAAGCCTAATTCAACCTCTGAGTGGAACTTACTCCTCCACTGGTGGGTTTGTGCCTTAATAGAGTCACAAAACCCAAAAAAATATTGACATCTTTGTTTTTCTTTTCTTACAGCCATGCATAGGGTCAACATATGACATTTGATTCGCTTCAAACTTGTACAAACACACATAATTTGCATCGTCTTTGTTGCAACATTTTAACAGTTGGGTCAAAATTCACATGACAATTGGATAGAAACGCGGCTACTTTAATCTGTCACCTGGAAACAGGAAGTGCACTGTACAACTGTAACCCGACAAAGACATGTCTGTCTACCTAAAATGGATCGCTGAAACAGTAAAGCATTACTGGAAAATGAAAAAAAGAGATCTTTGTTATTCTGGAGGAGCTGTGGATATGCAGAGCTCGGGTGGAAGAATCTGTTGACAGCCAGCTGTCAAAAGTCATGCAGAGGATACAGCAATTATGAGAAGGACGATAATCTGGTCCGAGGATACCAGAATAATAACGCAATCCATTTATATTACTGATTTGTCAACATTTTTAAAAACGCATCATTTCCCAATCAGGTACTACTTTGTGTTAGTCCATCACATAAAATTCCCCTGAAAAACATTCAGGTTTGTGTTTTCCAAAAACACAATGTGACAAATTGAGCGTTGCAATGGGAAAATTCAAAAGGGTTAAAAGAGTGAAGTGAGCTAATCTGCCTCTGTAGACCTATGTCCAAATCGTTGGGAGCCGTTTACCTGATGATCTCTACGTACTCCCGGTCCTTGCCTTTGCTGTCCCTCCATTTGCGGTACATGACCGAGGCGTCCACGTTGGCGGGGGAAAAGGTGTTGGGCTCGTTCAGCAGTGAGATCACACTTAGTAAAATGGTTCTAAAAGAAGACCAAAAAAAAAAAAAAAACAATAAAACAATAAAAGACTGGTTTTTTACTGGTTTTTAAAAGTATGCAATTTAATAAACTGAAGAAAACTTGGAGATTCCTTTCAATCCAACTTATTTTTGGTGACCTATATACAACTCTAGTGTCTGCTAAACACACATTTTGATAACAGAAATGTATGTCAAGCAAAGTTAGCACCCATACTTGGTAGAAATGCTTTTGTTATTCTGCCCGAAGAGGCTTCACGTTTTAGAAGGTGGCTTAGTGAGTAATGTTGAGTGGGCCACTTTTGGAAGCAGGATGCAGCAGCTGCGGTTTGTGGCTGCAGCAGCAGCAGCCGTGGCGTTGGTTTAGTCATTTATTTGAAAAACAGAAAAGAAAAAAACAAAAAGCTACACTCTACACAAGCTGAGCAGATTCTGTTCCTGTTTTAATATTTCCTCGATGTTTGTTTAGCAAAGTATAGTAGGAAACAGGTTGTACCACCGCAGCAGATAAATGGTGCCAACAAAGAAAAAAAAAACATTAATTAGTTAATCTGTAAACTCCAGTTTATTTTTCAGATCTAGTGTAATCATGTAAGCTATTGTTTCAGGAGTTACTGTAATGGGTTTCAGATATGCTGTAAATGTCCAAGTGAAACCTCTACATATAAAGAAATTCTGTTTGTCACATCTGCAAACAGAAGGCAAAATAAGAAAAGCTTTAATATTTTTGCAATTCTGTGGAAGCTAAAAACTTTTAGTAGGTTGTCAAAATGCAGATGAAGCTGATTGCTTTTCCTATTCCCAGAAAAAGTGCACAGTTCAACTTGCTGCTCTGCTCCATTCACGCAAAGCGCTGACTCAAATTACATGTATAGAGCATTCTCCATGTTGAACGACATCACAGAAAAACTTAAAACAAATCACTGGTGGAACTAAAAGTAATTGGTCGATGTGAGCAGGTGACAAGATTAGAAATGACATTTACTTTTTCTCAGGGGATATTTCAGCTTGTAAGAGGATTAATTGGGAGTACATAACAGCGGAGCCCTGCATCTGGAGCACAGCCAGCGCTGCTGCTGTAACCGTATAAACGGAACCTGTGCTTCTTTTTCCCTTTCATAGGAAGAGTCCTTGCAGCATCTATGAATGGCTTGTAAAACTGGCATAAAAACTGAGAAAGCATTGCACCAATCATCATTTACAGCTGATTGCCAATTTTTGGATCCCTTATTTTTCTAACTTACCCAAAAATAGGTCATTTGAATCTTCTTGACTCAGTAACAATCTCCAAATCAAAGAGTGTTCTTGTCAACATAAGTTCGATAAAAAATCAGATGTTCCAATGACCACCTGAATTGTTGGTGCATCATGAATAAATATGATTCATGCCTTTCTTTAAAAAAAAAAAAACTACCCTAGTTATGCAAATATGTATGCTCAGCCTAACTAATAACACAATACATCAAAACAATGTGAATATGTATGTAACATATTTTCCGTGGGTGGATCTTGAACAGCTGAAGAAGACAGCTATAATGAATAATGAATGTTGTGTGATAAGACTCTGAGGCAGCTAAATTACTGAAGCAGTGGAGAAAGGACAGAGCAGGGAGTAGAAAGAATCAGAAAGAAGATACATATTAAGAGAGAAAACGACGAGGGAGTTGCTGACCGGACATTCTGGGTAGGATTCCATCTTTCTGAAGGCAGCTCTCCACTCTGTGGGTCGTCCACTGGCGGGTGCAGGATGGAAATGCACACATCCCCATTCTAAAACAGGAGAAGCCGTTTTATTTCACTGTACTGTGGGTTTTGAAATATGTGACGTAAAGACAAATCACAGGCTGTTTTTGGCTGTGATACTTGACCTCATAAATGTTGGGATGCCACATTTTAGTGAGAAAGCGGAAAGCAGGTGGAGAGTATGGGTAGTCTGTAGGGAACTTGATCCGAGCCTTGAGCAAAAGAAAATAAACATAAATGTGTGTATTTTCACATTTTCAGGTGAAAATACAAAACGTTTGTTACATGACTTTTGAAAAGTCATTTTTATTTCAAATCTTTATTATGAGTTTGGGGCAAAAGGCTTCTATCTTCTTCTGTAACAAGACATTAAATAAGAAGCCTGACAAAAAAAATACATTAACAAAAAAAAACAAAAAAAACTGATTGTTGGACAGACATACGGACAAACTAATTCAATCAGTTTTTGGAATCTTCCCCGTACAAGTGACTGTCCGGGGAAAAACAAACAAAAACAAAAACTGTGCATTTTCTGACCGATTCATTAAATGCACGTGTTTAGTAAACACATCAACCAACAGAATATGATTTCAATATTTTTTTTTTTAAACCTTACCAGAAACTGCAGGTAAGAAACATGCTTTAGTGCAAAAATACGAATGATAGTGAAGGTTTTTCACCCTTTTCTTTTGGATTCACAAATTGGATTCACGTCTGTCAAGGAACATGTAGCATTACCAATTTTTAAAATAAACTATATATATTTTTAGGTCTGTAAAAAGAGTACAATTAAATCAAATGCTTTTCCAGACTTCGGAGGATGCATCTGAGATCATCCACTGTATTTTTAATTTCTCTTGTGTCAATCTTAAACTTTGTTGACAATGCAATAGACTTCTCACCTTAAAGTATCCTCCTTCATAGTGAGTGTTCGGTGGTCCAAAGATGGCCACTTCCCAGTTGTACAGATCAGCCTCGTCCACCAGAGTAATCTTGAATCCCTCAACAGGCTCCTCCTGAAGGCTCTTCATTTCCAACATCAGGGCTTTTTGTGAGCTGGCTACATGAGAGGGGTCGTGTTGCGCCATACTGGTTTGTGAAGCTTTCACGATAATCCGGAGTCAGCAGCTGACGCTTTTGTTTACCCCGAAGCGTCTACGTTAGCCTGGCTAACCAAACAGCCTAGCCCCAACGACTTCTGCTTTTCTTTTCCTCTCCTTTCTGCAGAGACTCGGAAACAACAACAACAAAACAAAAAAAAAAAAAAACAGGCCGAACCAGCGCACAAGCCAAATAGAGCTTCACAGAACAAATTAATTACTTATTAATGTCAACACTGAGAAAGGGTTGAAACAAGAGAAACATTGTGGCTGAGCAGCTTTAGCTTATTTACCTGGCAGTACAGCAGCGGATATAAGCCCGTAAATCTACCACAGGCTATCGGCTAATGTTAGCTTGCAAGCTGTCCCTTACCGAGCAGCCGGAGCCGATCAAACTGCGGCGGAAACACTTTGTAACTACGAACAACGCCGAGCTCAGAAGGCAACAATATGACCAGCCATCTCTAACTGTACTAAACTAACACACTGCTAACAGTTGTCAGCCCTGTAGCTCTAACCGCAGGCGGAGAAGACTAGATAGGGAAATATGTTGCAGAGAGGAGTCCCCTGTACTCTGAAAACAGGTAATGGCGCCTGGTGTTGCTTGGGAGTTGTAGTCCATTTCTCATATGTAAACTTTTTATTTTATTTTAAGAGTTTGCAGCATGCCATAGGCGCGTCCCTCTACAGGTACAATGTTTTAACAATACTTTAAAAAAATCTAAGAATGTCTATAACAAGTAATTAAGCTTTTATGAATCAGTTAGTGTGCTTTGAAAAGTTTGTACTCAATTCTGTGAATTGGCATCATTAATACAGTTATTAGGTTTATGTTTTCTACATTTTCTTGCGAAAGAAGAAGAAAAATTTGTATTTGTACTGTCCATCCATCCATCCATCCATCCATCCATCCATAGCTGATCTTTTATCAGTTAGTTTCTCAATGTATTTTCAAACACAACCTCTATGAAACCCCCCATTTGAGTAATAAAAAGAGCAAAATATTGGGAAAAGACTACTGTTTGGACTCATTAGTTTATTCATGAACTGTGCTGTACACACTGTCTCTGGATCGTTCTGACAGATCCCTTTTAAGTTTGACCAGAAAGCCACATGTCCCTTTCCATAAAACATATAATGAAGAGACTCGTGAACCTTGGCAAGCGAGCAGATTAAATTAATATTTCAAAATATAGATTTTTGGATTTTCCATTTGTCAACATCATTCACTCTGCGGTTACAGACTGATACATTGAAATATTCAACACTGAAATGTGATTGGCATGGAGACAGTTGGTTTATTAATTAAATATCAGACTCACAAACGGTACAAAACACTGTCTTAGTACAAATACGGCAGTGTGCAGCGCATTTGTTTTTATTTGTTTTGTAGTTTATTATGACGTATATATTTTGCGCCACAGTTTCTACAAGGGCCTCTATTGGTGGCTTTTACTTGCCTTCGCGATGCCTTTGTGCTATTTTTCCCTTATTGCTTTTATTTAAAAACAATAATACAGCAATATACATTTGTTACATATGTCCACGTATTATTTCCGGGTTAGTTATTTGCGCTCTAAAATTGGACGAGTGATTTCATCATTACGTCTTATTTACGCGACAGACTTCCTCTCGGGCCCCGTGCAGCAGTTCGGTTCGCGATGGGTTCGAAATCGCGACGCAGGACCCGGTCCAGAACCAGAAGTCGGAGTAGAGACAGGCGGAATAAGTCTAAAATGGGCAGATCACGATCCCCAGACGAGAGGAGAGGCCGCAGTAGGTCTCCGGACGGCAGAAGAGCCGCCCAAGGACGAGCGAGATCCGGCAGCAGCAACAGCAGCAGCGCGGCCTCAAATCATGGATCTCCGGTCCGCCGGCGGCCTCAGCGCTGGGGTCGATCCGGGTCCGGCAGCGGCTCGGAGGCTGACAGGAGACGAAGAGAGCAGCACCGGCGGAACAGCAGGTCGAAAGCTCGGTCATCAAGGTAATGGCTAGCTGGGTTTGTTTATGGACGCAAATAACGACGTTGACGCATGTTCTCTGTGATAACATCCGACACAATAATTAGCCCTAAATAGTTCCCTTTAGTCAACATCCTCTTACGCAGTTTTTTTTTACGTTACTGTGGCAATATTCTGGACGCAGAGAAAAAGTAAAACACGACTGATGCCAACAATATGGAGTTTTGCACTGATTTAAAGACAATAGTCTTGCTGCTGCAAAACTCTTGTAAAAATTAGTCAGACTCACCTAAGATACAAATTATTGCCTCTAGAATAATATGTCATGCTGTGGATTTTGTTCTAAATCATCATTAGTCGATTTCCTCGTAAGTAGGTTTTTAACAGGGTTGGCATTTTGTGAAATACTACAGTGGATTTCCACACCTTTACCAAAATGTGTTTTTGTTTTATTTCCATTGTCATTTCTGGCTAGGTTTACTTCTACCATTCTAACGGTTTGCTATGCATAAAATGTGTAGTGTTCATACAAATAATCGGTTTTCTTCTCAGTCCTGATTCAGACAACTCCAAGATGAGAAGAAGGGGGAAGGAGACGGAGTTAAGGAAGGGAAGGTCCCAGTCCGGCTCAGACTCGAGCGGCGGAAGCAGCGACAGAGAGAGGAGGAGACGGAGAAAAAGTGTTGAACGAGGGAGTCCACCAAGAGGCAGAGAGACGAGGGACCGGAAACAAGACAGAAGCAGAGAGAGGAACAAGAGGAGTAAGGACAGGGAGAGAGGGAGGAGCAAGAAGAGCAACGAGAGAGACGATAGGCGCAGAGAGAAGCGGGGGTCCAGCGCGTCCGACTCCTCGGAGAGCTCCGATTCGGACAACGAGAACCTCGAAGTCAAAGAGAAAGAGGAGAGGAAGAAACAGAAAGAGCTGATGAAAGCCCTGGAGACGCCAGAGGAGAAGAGAGCCAGACGGCTGGCGAAGAAGGAAGCGAAGGAGAAGAAAAGGAGGGAGAAGATGGGCTGGAGCGAAGAATACATGGGATACACCAATGCAGACAACCCATTTGGAGACAACAACCTGCTGGGCACATTCAAATGGCAGAAAGTCAGTTCTTTACCGAGACGTTTGACCCATTATTTCTAAACCGAAACGTTTCCCATCACGATTTTTTACTGTATTTTTGTGCTTCAGGCGCTGGACAAGAAGGGCATCGGCCATTTCAGCGAAAAAGAGCTGAAAGAAAGAAACAAATGCATCCAGGAGGAGAACCGAAGAGAGCTGCAGAAGGTAGGAACCGGAGAACGGTGCTTCCTCTCAAAATCGGAGGACGGCGGCAGTGGATTGTGTGTAATCACGCTGGCTGCGCGCTCGTTCAGGTGAAGCAGCTGCGGCTGGAGCGGGAGCGAGAGAAAGCCATGAGAGAGACGGAGCTGGAGATGCTGCAGAGAGAGAAAGAGGCCGAGCATTTCAAAACCTGGGCTGAACAGGAGGACAACTTCCACCTGCAGCAGGCCAAACTAAGGCTAGTGTGCAAGGGTGTCTTTTTTTTTTTTTGTTTTTTTTTTTTCAAAGTAATTCACTGAACCGTATTTATCTCGTTGTCCAAAACTGTCAATTTAGGTCCAAGATTAGAATCCGCGATGGCCGCGCAAAACCCATCGACCTTCTGGCGAAATACATCAGTGCAGAGGACGACGATCTGGCCGTGGAGATGCACGAACCATACACATTCCTTAATGGACTGACTGTCACCGACATGGAGGACCTGTTGGAGGACATAAAGGTCAGCGGCGGATTAATACTTAAACGGTCTTTACATTGAAGTATTTTGGATAAACCTTTGCAGGTGTGTCCATGACCAAATTTTGTCAGACCAACACAAAGTAATGCTTAGTGTAACATTTGTGAAGTGGAAGAAAACTTTAAATCTCCCTTGTTACTGTGTGTGAACAGATATGTTGCATAGTCTCTTGCCAAAAACCGACTGTCTTGAAACATAATGCTGAGACTCTGCCTTTCAAGCTGTTGGTATTTTTTTGATTCTTTAAAAATGCAGTGGCTCCAAATGAATTTTCTTTCTTTCTTTAGAAGAAAGGACCACAGCGCCACTTCTCTGATTCAGTTAAACACACACAGTCCTGCTTCACTGTCACATAACTAAGCAAAAAAAAAACAAAAAAAAACACATGGACAGCAACACCTCTTCCCCTTCGTGACCCTGATTGTTTTGTGTTTTTGAGATCACAGGGGTCGCAGAGCCCTGGTTTAGACCAAACCCAAGTGATGTTTTATATTGGCTCAGCTTCAGCCTTGCTATTCCAGTAAACTGTGTTTATGGCCGTCTATGTGAAAGGTCTACATGGAGCTGGAGCAGGGCAAGAACGTGGACTTCTGGAGAGACATGACGACCATCACTGAGGATGAGATCAGCAAGTTGAGGAAACTGGAAGCGTCTGGGAAAGGACCCGGTATGGACGCTTTAATGCTGCAGTGTCCATATTTAAAAAAATATATATATGGATGTGATATCTGTTGTTTTAGATGATTACCAAACTGTTTCAGTTTGTTATGAGAGAACGTCAATGCATAATGCTAAACTTACTTTTTCTATGGCAGACTTAGAATATTTTATCGGTTGCATGCAGAGTTTAAGCTCTACACTCTTCCAAAGCAATTTTTTGCACCCTAAGAATGACTAGTTAGAGTTCATCAAAAAACATTTATCCATTTTTGAATTTGGCTATCTACTTATGTTTGCTCCCTGCAAAGATGCATATCAAGAGCTGCTGAGCTCTTCTACTAATTTACCTATAGCTCAGCATGTTGAGTTTAAGACGCAGACGTTTGACATGTGATGCTTTATTTCATCCTTCAGGTGATCGACGTGAGGGCATCAACACAGCAGTTAGCACCGACGTCCAGACCGTGTTCAAAGGGAAAACCTACAGTCAGCTGCAGGCGCTGCACCTGAACATCGAGGGAAAGATCCGGGCCGGGGGATCCAATCTTGATATCGGCTACTGGGAGAGTCTGCTGCAGCAAGTTCGGGTCTACATGGCGAGAGCCCGGTGAGAAAGGAGCTGCACTCCGTGTTTTCCGAATGACTCATTCAGAAAACACGGAAATGTATGGATGAAAGCAGAGCAGGTCCGAGAGGCTGCCTGTGGAGCATCTGAGCTCGGCTGGAGTACGAATTGTGTTTGTTTTTTTAACACCCAGGTTGAGAGAGCGCCATCAGGACGTGCTGCGTCAGAAGCTGTTCAAACTGAAACAAGAGCAGGGAGTGGAAAGCGAACCTTTGTTCCCCATCATCAAAGAGGAACCGAGGAGCGAGGAAGACGAGTAAGTTGTAATGGCTCCACAGATGGCGTCTTGAAAAGCATTTCGTCTCGTTGCAAGCGTAACTACAATATTTTGTGAGGATTTTCTAGGGGGAAAAAAATTGTGCTGCATTTTGGAACCTGAATATGTATTCAGCTGCCCTAAGTCCATACTTGGTAGACCTTCCTCTTTGTTGCATTTCCAACTCAGCATCTTTATTGCTTGCCTACCATCTCTGCAAAACTACAATTTTTGCAATTTGGCTTCAGCTCAGGCAGATTAGACCTGTGAACATCAATTTAAGCCTTACAACAGATTGACAGCTTTGATCTAAACCATTCTGATGTCGCTCTGACTGTACGTTTTGCATCATCTAACGGGTTTTCCTCCAGTATTTTCCTGGAGACATGACCATCCACCTAAACCAGTGTTTAGGTGGATGGTCATGTCTTGGTAGGCTTGCTGACCTGCCATACTTCTTTTTTCCAGTTCAGATAATCGATTGATCGTTCTTAATTAGGTATTCAGAGTTTGAGATGTCGCTTCTGTTTCAATTTTTAAAATGTACCAAAATAAAGAGAGTGAACTTGAATTCACATCACACCTTTCAGGTTTCTATTTGTTAAACACGAGAAAGTCTTGTCTCTTTTTCATTCGATGTCACAGTCACGCACTGCTTTGTGTGGGAATGTCAGACAAGGAGACAATGTTTTGGAAGTGACTGTAGATAAGCCACATGAAAGTGACTAGATTAAAAATAAAATAATTTGACACAAAGTCTCTTCTTCTTTAGGGATGGGGAAAGAACGCAAGGGCAAACAAGAGAGAGAACAGCAGAGGAGAGCGGTCTGTTAGCATCTTCATCCCGAAGAAATAAGAACAGAGAAACGGAGGAGGATGAAGAGGGGCCAGGCCCGTCCACCTCTGCAGCTGGCAGCCAAGATGAGGAGGGAGGAGAGAAGGGTGACGGGAAGGATGAGGAGGGGAAGGAAGAGGCGGTGTTGACGGAGGAGGACCTCATCCAGCAGAGCCAGGCGGAGTACGACTCGGGTCGCTACAGTCCCACTCTGCTCACTCTGTCTGAGCTGCCACTGGATACTCACACCATCACCCCGGAGGAAGATGCACACCGGCTACAGTTGGCCCGCAGACAGCTTCAGGTCACAGGTAAAAGGCATTTCTGAGCAACACGTAAACACAGCCGACGTGTCACCATCATGTGAATAAAAGTTTCTTCCTCCGGTATTTTAAGGTGACGCCAGCGAAAGCGCAGAGGACGCCTTCGTACGGCGAGCCAAAGAAGGCATGGGCAACGACGAGGCCCAGTTCAGCGTGGAGATCCCCGTCTCCGGGAAGATGTACCTGTGGGCGGACAAGTACCGTCCCCGCAAACCGCGCTTCTTCAACAGGGTCCACACGGGCTTCGAGTGGAACAAGTACAACCAGACGCACTACGACTTCGACAACCCGCCGCCCAAGATCGTCCAGGGATACAAGTTCAACATCTTCTACCCGGACCTGATCGACAAGCGCTCCACGCCTCAGTACTTCCTCGAGCCGTGTCCCGACAACAAGGACTTTGGGATTTTGAGGTTTCACGCCGGGCCGCCGTACGAGGACATCGCTTTTAAGATTGTGAACAGGGAGTGGGAGTACTCACACCGACACGGCTTCCGCTGTCAGTTCGCCAATGGGATCTTCCAGCTGTGGTTCCACTTCAAGAGATATCGCTATAGAAGATGAATAAGTTACCAGCATGGACCAAATCCTCAGGGACCTGATTTCACTCACGGAAATTGGATGATTTGGCTCTTTTTAGCTGCTCTCATAAAACTAGAGCTTCAGCTACAAATTTTGCCATGTTGTATGAAAAGGAAACTGTAAATGTAGTTGGCTAAATACGTATTAAAGATTTGTTTTTCACTCTCTGCTGTTTGCACGCTGCCATTTTTTGACGATTTTCTGCTTGGGGTCGAATCTCAGACAGTGGGAAAAATCACTCAAAATGATACATAAATATATATATTTAACGGAGCTATTTACTTGAAATTCCCAACATAAATATGCTTGTAGAAAAATAATGTAATCCATAAATTAGGTTATATATAGAACACGGCTGCATAATGTATTGCAGTCCTGTACTGCCTTAGGGTTGCAATATTCCTTTATGCAATATTATCACATCCTCAAAAGTCCATCCTCATATTTAGATGCTTCCCCATTTGTTTGCTGCTGTCAGGTGATTTGCAGTGTGATTTCTCCTTCCAAAATGTTTCATTTAGTCTCACCTGACCCCATTTTTTTTAACTTGACCAAACATTTTCCAGAAACCTCTCAATGAGTTCAGTATTCAGTATTTTGGAGTCTTTGTGCAGTGAGCTGGCATAGAGGTTAAGTCTATTGCTTACACTTTTCTTGCGCCTCCCAGTAATGTCTTCCTGACTCACCTAATTTTTAATTTTTTTCCCCCCACTTCCAGAAGTCTTTACCAAGCATTTAGTTATAGTTGGTTTATGATTAAATTATGTTCTTTTCCCTTCCAGATTATGATGCCAACAGTGCTAACATTCAGAAGCTTACAAATGCATCAGTAATCAACACAACTCTTAGCTTCCACCCATCATGAGATGGGTTACGTGATATTTAAGTTATGATAAACATTTGATAAATCAGGACCAAACTTGTTATTTATTTACTTGCAGACAGTAAGGTCAGTTACTTTCCTTGCTGCAGAAAGGGGGCAGAATTACTTTCTAAATACAAACAGATTCCAGCCGACTTTCTCCAGCTACTTTTCTTCAATATTTATATTATCCCACTTTATTACACAGCTGTTGTTTGGACATATGTCTCTTGATTTCTCAACTTATGTGGATCACTTGCATTGTTAAGACCTGCAGAAATATATTGTCTAGGAAAAATGTTGACATTTGTTTATTTACTGATGTGCTATAATTACGCAACGGAGTCGGTGAAAGAAGTTCTTCACTGTCAAAACTTGAGCTGTCATGAACAGAAAACTGATTTACAACATCAGGTGACTCCAACATCTGCTCTTCACAAACCCTGTCTTGCCAACATAACGAAATAAAACTTGTTCAGAATCACAAAACCAGGTCAAGAAGTTTTTTTTAAGTTAAAAAATAAAAAAACTTTATTTCAAAATAAACTCTTTTCAAGCTGGCAACCGGAGAACAAAGTGGCTCAAGTCCGTTTACAGTAGAAACCCCTGAAAAAAATAATCAGGATTATGCAGAATTACAGCATTTTAAAACACACAAAAATATTACAAAAGCATCAAACTTGTGCCAAAAGCGTTAAAATTAGTCTGAACATCTGAAAGCTTTTAAAAAAAGGGTTTGAACTTATTGAAAAAACCTCCTGAATTTAGATCTACCGTCAGCTGAACAATTTTTTTTTAGAGCTACTGCTTACAAACTGCACATGAATAACAGCTAAAGTTGTGGGATGCCCACATCCATCCATCAATCCAAACTGGTGCTTACAGTAAAATTGATTACACAGTAGCATGTAGCAGCTATTTGCCCTCTGGTACAAATAGTTGTGCTATGAATTATGAGTAGAAAATACGCTGATTTTACAAGCCCCGAAGCTGAAGCAGAAACGCTTTTGTCAACTTTTATAGAAAGATTTATGTACTTATGTATTGTTTTCAAAGTATAAAAAAAAAACTTCAGCAGAGTAACTGGTTTTAGTCAGTAAAACTAACAGCGTAGAATGGATTTTAGTCTAACAACCTAAAATAAACCATTAAAAAAAAAACAACTGGAAATCACCCAAAAAATCTAAAATGGGCAGCATCAGGGAGTTGAATGTTTGGCTCCATGGACCTTCACCAGTAAAGATGTTTGCCCAACAAAAAATAAAACAAAAAGATAAATGTTATTTTTAAAATAATAATAAAAAAAGTTTAGAAGATTGAATTGCATGTTACCCTAAGTATGTACACTTCTGGCTCTTTTCCACCTTTTTTTTAAACAATGGAGCTAATAAAAAGAAAACCTTGAAGAAACGTGTCATCTTTGACCTCATAATAATAATTAAAAAAATTAGTCCTTTTACACTCAGTAATTCAAGATGACAAAATTTAAAAAAAAAATATTTTCTTTGTTTTTTTTTGTAGTAAAACATTTGCCATTTTCAAATAGTTGACTCGTCAAACTGCATAGACGAAAAGTTTACTCCTGGCGGGTTAGTCCCCTCTGACTGACATGGTGCATCCCCCGCATTGGTGTGATTCTTCGGTGTTTCAGCCGCCAAAGGCACACTGGCGTCCCTGGCCTCCAAGTCACGAGTCTGCTGGGGTTCTTCCCCTTTCTTTTTAGTGCGATCACAAGGCAGGTTAATGTGGCGCTTGACAACTTTCCAGGCCAAAAGGAGAACGAGACAAACAACAAGGAAGACGACTGCAGCTATCAGTCCAGAGTGAGACTGACCACCGCTCTGAGCCTGAGTAACGCTCTTGTTTTCAAAACTCGTGCGGACCACGTAACTGACTACAACGGTCTCGTACTCGCCAGCTTTGGATTTCTCCACAGACAAGCAGCTGTATTGACCAGAGTTATTATTATTATTATTATCATCATCCGAGTTGTCCAGAATGAGCAGTCCATCCTCTGGTGAATGTGGGAGAGGTATGCCATTCCGCTTCCAGATGAGTTTCGCCAGGTTGGAAGGTGAAGGACAACTGAGCTTAAGGATTCTTCCAGGTCTGATGTTCCGGTACAAAGGCTCAACAACAGGCCCTGAAATCAAAACAAGATCCCACAAGATTAGTTTATCAACCCACAAACCCTCAGTTTCTTTTAAAGTGAATCAATACTCAGTGATGATGCTGCAGAAGAGCACTAACTCACCAGCATCAGGGCAGTGACTCGCATTTCCTTTCATATCTTGGATTAGCACACTGAAAAAAGTAAAGTTAAAATACTAGTTTAGTTTAAAATAGACAGGTACAGTGCCTTGTAAATTATCCATTCTCCCAGTAGTGATTTTTAATGTGGGCCATGATCTGGTCAGAATAATGCTAAGTCTGAATGAAATCCTGTAAGAGACTGAGCTTGAGATATTATACAGAGGTAATCAGGTAGAAGTTTAGATATTTCAGCCTCTAAATCAGTGGCCTCCAACCTTTTTATTACCGTGGACCGGTCAAGACTCAAATTTTGTTTCTCAGAATAACACTGGTCGCCCCATATCATGCAGAATGTGGGGAATCACCGACCGGGATAAATCCAATCTCCTGTCTCTGCTCTGGTCCTTTCTCCCTCCGCAAAGAAACTTTCCAAAGACATGCGATCTGTTTCCTACTCATTTTGCTACTTGTGGGCTCAATGTTGGCACACAAGACGTAACTGAGAGAATCTGGTTCAAGGATTTTCAAAATAAAAGATCCTCCAGACTCATAATACATAAACAAAAATATTTAATTATTTCTTGCGTGGTCCGGTATCAATTGGTTGACGGACCGGTACCAGTTTTCAGATTGATGTTATGCATCATTTATATACATTTCTTTCCACTTTACAATCCTACTAAAATACATTGAAGCCTGTGATTGTCAAATGACAAAATGTGTAAAGTTCAAGGGGTATGAATACTTTTTCAAGAGATGTGTAAACTGAGCGCTGCTTACCTCTGTGAACTGGAAACAGAAACACATTTCCCCTCACCCTTGTCCCATCCACAGTATGGATCTCTGGATAAAACGCAGTCGAAACAGGTAGATGACCTCTCGCAGTTAGCTGGTGCTATTTGAACAACACTGATGTCTGAGCCAACATAAATCTGACCCTGTTTAAAAACATACACAAAGCAAGCAAAGTTGTATTGTAGACCTGAACAGTGATTTTATAATTCCTCTGCTGTGGCTTTATATTACCGTTTTATTGGAAAACTTGAGAATCTTGATTTCCTGAGGAGGGGTGAAAAGTTGGACTTCTTCTATGATGAACATCTCTTCACTGTGCAAAGCCTTCAGCAACTTGCCTTGATCTTAAATTAAAACACATGACAAGAAATGATGAATATAATTCTAAAAGTAAATAACATGCATTTGGGGTCTAGTAGGAAAATGGAAATGAAAACCAGAGCTGGACACGATCACACACCTGTGCCTATAAACATGACGTTGTACTTTTCACCATCCAAAGCTTGCACTTGCTTCACTATAATCTGTGTGAATGCAGCTCCCTTATGCGTTAGCAATGGTCTGCCCCCTATTGGCTCAATAGCCTGGTCCATGAGCGGCTTGTCTCGGATGAACTGAAGGGTCTTGTCCGGGAGGTCCAGAGTGGTTTTTATTTCCGAGTTAGGAGCCTCACTGTTTATGCACTGGTGAAGGAGGAAGGCGAGGAGAGAGAGCAAAGGAGCACAACACAATCAAGGGTTCAGGAGGAACTGGTTTCCTGCTGAGTTGACTCATTAAAAAGAACAGAGCGACCCATTAAGATTCTGCTTTGCTCCAAACACTTCATCAACACACGTTCTGAATTAAAGGTAGGACTCACAGATCCAGGCCGAGGCTTAGGGACCTCTCCGCTGAATGTCACCCACTTTATGTAAGACGTTTCTACGGAGGCCTGGGTCTTGTACTTGCCCTCTGAAAACTGTTCACGGATGTCAGACATGCGGTACGCACACACAGCAGATATTTTAGATGTGTGTCTGAAACACATGATGAGAAATCCAAAGGTCATTGAGTGTAAGCCCCCATTCATGAAGAAACCTTTCGTTTGTTGGTGAAAACATACGACTGCGGGGTGAAGGTGGCGTAAAAAACGCACTTCTCCCAGTGCAGAGAGGGATCACACCAGCGGAACGAGTCCTGGATAATGTAAGGCAACTGGGAGCCTGGGACTGGACAGTCCAACCTGGCTTTAAGGAAGGATGTCCATCTCTTCTGCAATGTCCTCAGACCTCCTTGATCTCCCTATGGGCACAAAAGCAGTTCTGACACAAAACAAGGCCAAATGGAAACTGGGAAGAGAGAATTCTTTACCAGGCAGTGAAAAGGGCAGAACTAGCGGGGCTGAGGAAGTGCATTTGCGTTTTTGTTGTTCACATTACCTTGCACACACGGGCCACGCGGGACACTGCCAGTTTGCTGTAGCAGTCGAATTCTACAGCTGTCTCGCTGAAGAAGACGTAGACCTTGTTATCGTTGTCGGCCTTCTCACTGTCTGGCATCGATGCCATGGAAACAAAGTTGGGATCTGCAATAGCAGAAAACAAAAATATATTTGCTGCACAAGATCAAGATGAAAAGGTTCCTTTAAACACCTGGGTCCCTTAGACACAGAAATACAGACAGGTATCAACATATTACATAAGACCATTAACTTCAATCCCCAACACACAGAACAAATATTTAACTCCTTAAATGATAGTTTTACCGATTAAAGTCTCTTCTCTTAATAAAAGTGCACAATATGCTGACAAGGGAAGCGATGGAAGTTAGTTTTTAACATATAGGTGCCAGTCCCATAAGCAAAAACTACACCAATATTAATAATTATAACGTCTTTCCAGAAGGAGGGGGGTTGGCCATGTTTGCGGTAGTTTTTATGCCATTTTTATCTATGTACAGAGTATCGTATTGACCAAAATAGCAGTATTAAGATTGTGGTTATCAGAGTCATGAAGAGCAAATAATGAGATTAAAACTAAAGCAAACAACAGAAAAGTTCTAAAAACAATACATACAAATAGAAATCACACAATTAGCCAACTAATCATGCTAATCTTTATGCTGACTTAAAAAGGGAAACAGCTGTAGGGACGAAGGGGTGCGTGTATCAATTACTTTTCCTAATATTGAAAATTGTCCCCGTTACCAACTTTGCAATTGTTCTCATATTAGTGCATTAGTAGAACTAAGATTACTAAATTAAATTTCAAAGGGCACAGGAAATTTTTTAATGAACTCACATGTTGAAAGGCAACCAAGCACACACTACCTGGACAATTTCTTGTGCCTTTACATCAAAACAATCAAAAATGCTCATCAACACTTAAGTTCCATATTACCATAAAGCCAGGAGCTTTTTATCTCCGTGCGTATGGGACCGGACTGGGGGTTGACATACGGGCTGAGCATCAGGACCGGCTCAGAGCCCAGGAAGTTCATGGAAGTGGCCGAGTAGAGGTCATTCTCTGCCAGGAAATGAGATTCGCATGAAAACATCCGTGGCATTTTCAAGTTTCACCCAAACCATTTGCAATTCAGAATTTCAACTCACTTATCATGATGGAGGCATGTTTTTGGAACGGATCAAATGGACATTTTCCTTTGCCGTCGTCTTCGGGTTTCATTAATGTCAAACTCCCGTTTACATATAACTGCAACAAGAAACGGACAGTGCTGAACCATGACCTTGTTTCACAAGTTCTCAAAATGATCAGAATGAAAAAATAAATAAAAATATGACAGCAGCTTTGAAGTTATTACCATCTTCTTACATGCTGGATCGAAAGCATTGGTTCCACACACATACATCTTCCCATCCATCATCTCATGGAGTATTCTGATATAGTTCTTGCACTCTGTCTGAAAATATCAATTTAAATAGATTTTTTTAAAATCCAAAAAGTTATAAATGTTGCAGTACGGCAGTATGCCAGTAAAGCAAACAACCTCTGCATCCTTTCCTTTTCTTCTACAGTCCTCCACTTGCTTTGGAGAAACTTTCCATTCAACCTAAAAGGCAAACCCACAGATTGTTGTTAGGTTTATTTTTTTCAATGGTAGAAAATCTTTGCTAAATTACAGAGACAAGTTTTTTTTTTATGCTTCTGGTTCTGTGGAGTCACCAGAAAGTGTAGATATGTTAAACTCTATAAGGGACCAGATGAAGATGTCTGCCTTAATTGATCTTTCTTGACACAGGACCCTTAATACAGGATCCATCAAGGGTTTTCTATGTAAATTAATTAACCAACATGTTTTTTGTTACTAGAAGTTATGTAGTTATTATTTTGGAGAGGTCAGCCAGAAAGCCGACCTCAATCTGATATACAGTATCTGTGGAGGGAGACTTGGGGTTTGCATGAAGGCCTTTCCACTTAAAAGACTTGGAGCTCATTGTCATAATATCAGTAGAAACATGCAGAAAATTATAAGAAGGGTTTAATGCCAAAAAGAAAATTTCACTGACTATGCAGAAGGGCAAAAATACATTTTAAAATATAATTTTAGTAAAACACACACACTAAAATATCCATTTTGGATAATTTTTTATCTTCTTAGAGTTTATGGGATTTAATTTTAAATATTAGCCTGACCAGCCAAAATTAGTATTGATAATTTTTCCCTTAGCTATAAAATGCAGTGATAAACTGTTAGTTTGCTGCGAGTTTAGATCAAAACACACTTTTGTGTTTGAACGGCCAAGTTAAAGGCCAGACCTAAACATAATAGACCTGAAAGTTGACTGAGCATGAATCATTTTACATTGATGAACGAATAAATATGTTAGTCTCTAGATGTGAAATAAAATTTTATAAAAACTGTCTCAGTGATGTTGGTTTAAGAGAATCAGTTTTGGAATTGTGCTTACTGAAGTAATTTTCTTGGAGATGTTTCTGAGATCAAGAGCGAACACGGCCTCTCTGGCACCCACCACTAACAGGTCCAGGTCTTCTCTTACCAGCATGGTGGAGTAGTTGAACACGCCCTCCTCCCAAAACAGAAGGGCGTTGTTGCCTGGAGACAGAAGAGTCCTTAACTCGGCATTTAAATCGGCAAGTCGTCCAAACGTACGGCATTGTGAGCCAACAGGAGCTGACAACGCACACTCAAAAACCAAGGTTACACAAGACGAAAGAACAACACTCACTATTACTGGGCACAGATCTGCGTGGGATACAGTCCAAGGGCGAGTCCACCACATGCATCAAGGCCGTGGGCAGCAGCAGTCCGAAGACACTGAGGGATAGCAGCGGATGCATGGCTCCTTTTGTTCAATCAAAGAGGAATTTGGGGGCTTTGTTGTTTCGAAAACAGTCATTCGTACAGGGATAAAGACAGCAAGGGGCATCTGTGACGTGATGAAGTCTGCAGGGCACTGGCCCCATCACTGGCCCCGCTCAGCAGGCCGTCCATGGTGAGACGGATGAGACAGACCGAAGACACAATGCCAACGAAGGCTGAAAGAGAGAAAACCGTATGAATATCACTATGAGTGCTTCAGACCTGAGACAGAGGAGGTCTAAAAAGTGTTCAGCATAAGACTAAACACAGGATGTTAAAAAAGAAAAAAAAAACAATAAAAACAAAGCAGAGTGAGCTAAAGTCAGCACAGCAGTAATTCTGTCAACGCCATAGTGATGTTAATGCAGAGCCATGAAAAGCCTTCAGCAGGGTGCTGGGATGTCAGGCTCAGCTCTTCTGCAGTGCAGAGCTCTATAACACAGAGGGTGAGCGCGGAGGTTTTCAGCTCAGAGATGTTGCAAGTAGAAAACCGTTGCAAAATGCCTGCTTGTCCACACAAGAAACGCAAAGGACTGACAGATATTACGTCACTTAAACACTATAATCATTTCATGATTTCAAATCATGAAATGATTAAAAATAAAAACAAAACAAACAAACAAAAAACAAACACATAAGACATATTTATGAACTAACTTAACTTTAACTACACTGCTCTAACTTTACAAAATGTACGTATTCTGGAGTGTTCTGTCAGGTTGTACTAAGAGGCCCAGCTGAGGAGGTGTGTGTGTGCCAGAGTTGGAGTACATGTTGTCACGATGAGCCTCAGCATGTCAGAGAATGCGGACCTGAGAAGATGCTTTCACATATTCTGGAGCAAAGCCAGTTTCACTCTCTCTCTCTCTCTCTCTCTCTCTCTCACACACACACACACACACACACACACACACACACACACACACACACACACACACACACACACACGGAACTATAGAGATTTTATGCACCAAAAATGGCGGTAAGTGCTTTCTGACGTTTTCAGAAAGTCTTTGAGGGAGTAGCGAGATGCACGGTGATGGGTGGGCGTAAACATTACCCTGATAATTTTGGAGTTTTGCACATTTCAGGAAGTTATTCGTAGGGCTCTTATAATTTACATTGAAGACCTATGTGAATTTTGAAAGATTGCAACTTAATATTTGTCTCATTCAAATCCAGTTTAAGAGTTCAGTCAAATTAGCTACAATTTTACTCACTTAAATTTATTTTCTTCCAGCTCACGCATGTGACTTTAGTGCATTTACACCTCGGCTACCCGACTTCAGCATCTTACGACAGTAAACTGCAAGCTTTATGACAAGTACTCACAGCAACATTTAGCCAACTGATAAAATAATCAGGTCAAAAATATTGCCCTCAGGAAAATGCTTCAGTGCAGGAAGAGCAAGTTACAGTCTAGAAGCTGTATAGCTATTTCACAGACAGCTGTACTTTTCCCGTTGGCAATAATATATCGTCGCTAAAGGGGAACAGAGTGCAGTGGAGGAAAGAGCAAGTGATAACATGAGACTTTTTACAGCTTTGGTAATGTATTTATTTGTTTTTTAGTATATTTTTTTTCTGTTTTTTCCAGCCAAAATTAATATTGTCGCTTTGGCTAATAACCAATATGACATACATTTCCCAAATGCTTTTGACAAAACCGACCACACTGCTGACATTGCTTCACTACTTCAGCCAAACACTCCACAATTCTGTGCTCCATCACAATTTCTGTCATATGACTAAACAAACACCACATGGCCGACCCTTCCCCAAAACACACGCAGCAGCAAACTGTTCATAAATTATTATTAATATTGGCTCAGTTTCATTTATTGGAGCAATAAAGAAGTTAAAAACTGGTTAACGTTGACAAATGCGGATGTTAATGCTGCTATACTGAACAGCATTTTGATTTTAATTTTTAATCTAAAACTGGCTTAGAATAGGGTAAAATTACATTCATGCCAGTAAGCCACCTTGATTAAGTACTTTTGTTTTAACTCTAATAAGTTTACCTGTCTTGTAATTTCAATGAAACTCATCTCCTCAGTAGTAGGCCTACCATTGATCTTATTGTTCCTTAAGCTGGGTAAGCTGTTAACCAAACACAAGAACTTCAAAGTTTGGCTTCCCGTCAACAGACGCTGAGTCTCTTTACCTGTCCACTGAATCACCCAAGATTGCGGAAGCTAAAATTCAAACTAACCAGCACCTGCTCAGACACATTTACATGCCTGCTTTTGCAACAATAAGTACGGCTCTGCAGGGGGACGAAATAACAAGTGAAACAAAATGCACACAGCCGCGGCTTACGTTCAAACGTACCTTATAAGACGTGAGTCCACTGAGCCGCTTTCCCTTCCCCCCGGAAAAAAAGAAAAAAAGAAAGCGCTTCTTCCCTGACGCTTCCGAAGCCCGTCCTTTCTGTCTCAGGCGGGTCTATATGAACACACACAGGGGAGGAGAGCTCAGGTGAGCGGAAGAATATCTCTGTGCCCACTTCCGGCGCTAAAAGAAAACATACGACACGAACAGTTGGTTTGTCCTCCTCTTGCTTTATCGTTTGCTGCGTCTGCGTCCGCTGCTGAGGCGCAGACTGAAGGCGCTGACCTCTGGTCCAATCAAGTTCTCATTTGCTGATGGTCACCACTACCAGACGCTAGAGGGCGCAGCTCATCGACCAGCAGCGTTACAGACAATGCAGCCAGAGGACTAAACGTAAATCTGACCCTAAGGATGAAGTCTATTATCTGTGCAAGGACTAACTTGTTCATTGGTAGTAGCTAATTTAATCATTTGCAGGAGTACGGAAAAATACAGACCTTCAGCGGCCTCTGAAGGGCATTGTAAAGCATGCATCAAATAATCTTATTGATGTTATTTGATATCTCCTTTGAACTGTGCGCCATTACGCACAAGTCGTCAAGTACTGCAGTGTAAAGCGGTCCATATTTTAAGTTAAATTACTTCTGAACGGAATTCATAAAGCCTCATGACATCTCCGTCACGTAAGAGCTTAAACTATTTTAAGAGGCTTTTTTTTGGTCCCGTTTCCTGTTAAGATAAGGAACAGAAACATTTCACTTTCAGAATTATGGCAGAAGTTCCGTCTCACTTCATAGTTTCTCGTAAAAAAATAAAATAAAAATAAAAAAAACATCAACTACTGTGTTCAAACTGTTCATTTTAAGCCAACATTTATCCTGAACATTGTGTAATACAACAAAGGGACAAAAATAAAGACAGATACATATAGTCATTAAAACACTGAGGACTCACTTTCTGTATTTCAATTTAATCATAGCTGCTTATTGGTATTATGTAACATTTAAGAAATGATTAGTTTTAAGTTTAAAAAATCCTCTGCCGTGTTTTAATGATGTCTGCCACTCATTGTACCATCCGATAGCATAATGTATTTTTCACCTTGACCAGTTCCAGCATTGCCTGTGGTCTCTAAATCCGATTAGAAATGTGTAATATGTCCTGAATATTGAATTATGAAAGAACAAGTTTGGATTTGAAAGATATTTGCAAGATCTATTTTGAAAGACTAACCTAGCATAGCCCAATCTTCTCCCAAAGTATTGTATGAGCATTACTTTACAAACCACTCAAAGTGATGGTTATCCCTGTTCTTTGTGCTTTCTCTATCACATTTTTTCCTTCCACCCAACCTTCCATTGATATGCTTGGAGACAGTACTCTGAACAGCAAATCTCTGTACTTTGGAGAGCGGCTGAGGCAGCAGTCTTCCTGATGACCGTGATGCCCTTTCTTTTCTTAATGCAATGTTCTCGCTCCATCAGTAAGACAAATACTAAATACAAATAATAATTTAAAACCAAAAAAGGTCTGTGCAGACAAACATTTGATCACAAACTGACCCAAGGAAGAAATCTAATAGTCTCCGTACTAATCAAAAACACACATTTTTAATAACAACCATGTATGCATAACAACCTATGCACAAACATTCAATAAATTGTTCATTGTATGAAGACACTTATTACTCAGTTGTTCACAGTTTGATATCAATCTGTAGGGATCCAGGGGGGAGGGGGTCAAAAATGTCAAACATGAGGGTAAAAACACTTTACTTTTAAGCACCATCATATGTAATAGAGAAATAGAGGTTAACATAATACTGTCAAACAGACTCATCAGGCACTTGTGCTTCTGCAGAGATGGTGTGCTGATGACGTTTCTGTCGCTTTGATTTGCAGCCAATACTCCAGGAGGCAGATTGAGACTCTTTTTGGCAAAGAAAGAGAAATCAGCTGAATTTTACAGACATGGCTGAGAAGTGGGGAGTCAAAGGCATCACACAACAGAACAGATACAGTAGCAGACGACTCCAGCAGGTCAGACGTGGATCACTTAGCAGCTGAGTGGAGAGCAAGAACAATCGCTGTCAACAATCAGCGACGTGATGAAAGTTGTTCATCAGCCTCAAAGAGATCTCGAAGCAGAAGGCAGAGAAGTTGGGTAGAATTCAGTTTCTCTCCATTTCAGTTCGACCTGGATTACTTATCAGTCTTGATATAAATGGGAGGAGAACGAAAGATTCTGTGCTGAAAGAGCCGGATCTTCTTTCTTTCTGTTGATAAATCCCTGGAAATTACACTTTCAGCTGCTCCGGAGTAGATCTCTGCAGTGCATGGTTTGCTTGTATTTTTATTAGCAGAACCTTCAGCATCTCGCTAGTTAGACAAATAACAATGTGCTAGTGGTCTGGAATGTACCAGCAGATTTATAGTTGTTGTGGCACTATGACTGGTCGTAGAGGCAGTTGGTAACAGCCGGATGCATTCAGATAAAGCAAAAGGCCAGCACCATTTTATGAGACTTTTTTTTTTTTTTTATCCCCTCGAGTCCTCGGAGAAAGAAGAGGCTTTGTAGTGACTTGTCTTCCACCAAAAAGGCACCGGATGAGAACATGCTGAAGCTGCTTCGAAAAGAAGTCTGAAGATCTTCCTCATGTCAGTCCTGGCCGGTTTTCCTCTTCTCCAGTGTAAGTTTGAGCTCGTCATTCAGTGCTGTGAACAGATTGAAAAACAAAAAAAAGCAGTGACGCCAAATGTCGCCTGGCTGCTGCAGGTTCGGACGACAGACCGTTGTACTCACTCTGTGTAAGAGGCGAAGGGGACAAGATGAGTCGCCTCATTGGGTTGGTGGGAGAGGCCGGTACCGGTGAGGTCAGGATACGACGGTCCGCAGCCGGGGACCGGGACAGAGGGCTGGTGCACCAACGGTCTACGCAAAAAAAAAAAAGGTGAATATCACGGCAGTCTGTCGCTGTTTACTCTAGGACTTCAGTGGCCAAGACAAACCTTGTTTTGGAGGAAGAGCAGGGACCCTGGGCAAGGGGCTGGAGGGGGCAGTGTGGAGGATCTTCTCTCCATTTTCGTCATTAGCAGAAACATATGCTAACAATATGAACAAATTTGGCGTGCTTAACATTATAAGTTACTCCTGAAAGTTGAATAAAAAGCCAGGAGAGACAGAAAAAAAATGTTCTTTTTTGAATGCATGTTTGTGTGTTTTCTCACTGATATTCTCCTCGTACGGTTCTTCCAGAAGGAACGGCTGCAGAGTGCCTGCCGTCTTCTCTACCAAGGCGTCAATGACATCATGCAGTGTTGCACAGGGAATCTGCAGCAGCACATGATCTTTTTAACCTTTTGCAAAACATTTTCAAAACCAATTTGGATGAAATGCATAAATTTAAAATGCACTTTATCTCATAAAGTTTGTACAACCACAAACTTTATGGGATAAAGCAATCTAAAGCAGAAGCAAAAAGACTCAATTCAACACTTTTTTTTTACACATAAAATAAGAAAAGTGCAGCTTGCACTTCTGTTCAGTCTTTTTATGATGTGCATTCCACGTAATTATATTAATCTTGAGCAATTTAGCAAAGGAGAATGTGTACAAACTAATTTAGAAGAATTTCAGGTTTTTATAATGCGTGCCCCACATTTTCATTTATTAAGATTATCTTTTTTTCCATTTAATAATGAAGGTTTTGAGATGCCGGTCTATCACAAAAATCCCACCAATTCAAGTTTTTTGCATCATATTCACAAAAATGAAAAGTGTTTAACAGGTATTCATAGTTTTGCAGTTAGCGGACTGTTACTGACTAAGCTACTAATTGTAATAGTAAACAAAAACTTGCCTTTTGGAACAAATATTTTTGTCAGCTAGTAAAACTTTTTCTTTCGACGTGCCAGTCCCAGTTTAGAAACAGAGACCAATGAAATGACGCCACCACGACACTGTAAGGTGCGCCTCATTCTCAGCAAATGTCTAAAAACCATTTGTGAAAACAATAACCTAAGAATCTCTCACTTCTCCAAAGTCAGTGCATTAAAGTGTTGTAAGGCCAGGGCTGACATCAAACTAACTAACCACAGAATGAACATAATTCACTCTTGTGCTGCAACAATGTGACATCACTGTTTCCAGTTCAGCTTCACACTAGAGAGACTGAATGATTCTCCAGATCCATAGAGTACATAGCGCTTCAGCAGCAATGTTACTCAGCACTGCTGGTGAGCTGGCTGAAAGACCCAACACTTTTCCCTTTGGCTGTTTCAAAATATTTTCACTGTGGCAAATACTCATGGTGTGAGACCCAAAGGGGCATCCCTCATCGCTACTAGATAATGCTATAAAAACACTGCGATGGGCAAGCTACAGGAAGTCTGTCGAGCAGCTGACTGCAAGCTCTGCTGGAGCATATAGCCTAGCTAAACAACCAGCTAACATCAGTTTGTTATTTGTGTTCAAATTTGTGATGCGCTGAGAAAACAACCGGTTACCAAAATCAGAGAATTTACATTTGAATGACCCTGAGATTTTGTTGCTTGGAAACCAAAAGACGAAATCTTTTTTTTTTTTTTTTTAGCCAGTGAACACACCAGGTAAGAATCACTGAGTTCTGTAGCACAAAAGTTTTACAGTTGGAGGAGCACCAAGTTGGTGTTTTCAGTAAGGTATGACTGAGAAAGCACAGAAGGTGTCAGACAACCTAGAAAGGAAACAACTATTCTGATAAATAAAAAAAAAAGATTTAGAAAAATCTGAAATTGTCCACAAAATCTGATGAGTTTATTTTCATGATCAGATCACAACCAGAGGAGGTTGACGTCAATGAGCGAAGCCGTTTTCAATAGGTTTAGGCTTCTGCTCTGTCTGAACATACTCTCTTTCTGATAATGGCATAAATCTGTGCAGCAACTCTGTAAACATGTTACTCAGAATTATCATACCAGAAGAATCTCACTGAAGCCCACAGCTAAAATCAGACGAGGTAAATGTATTAAATGAATACTCTGAATGCTACATGTCCTGTCATTTATACTAGTCAGATATTCAACATTTTTAATAGACCATGCTGACAACAGAATCACACTTACAGGATTTTCCACATCGATAACATAACCACCTTGGTCTCTCTGAGTGACTCTGTAGTGTCTGAACACTGACCTGGATGTTAAAAGGAGAGACAAAGGTAGAGGTTGCAATACTGATTCATTTATGCGACTTAGCTCTCCATGTTTGGTGTTGATTTACCCATTGAGGTCCTGGCGGG